CTAACCACCAGCGTCATTTGAAAATCCACCTCTTTGTTTGGCGTCTGTAACACTTTTTTTTTTTCTTCCGGGAAATTTCCAAAAGAAATCCGATCTCCCTGGACTGCCTATATTTGTTCAAGTCGAGAGGCAGCACTTTTCCCCAAAAAGAAAAGGCCAAATAACTATTGAGGTCACGTTCTTCTTGTCTGTGAAAGTGGGTCACTTGTTCTATTGGTCAGTTTCAGAAGACATAGTTAACGTTGACTGCTGTGGACACGATCCTCACAATCTTTACAGCATATTCTGATAATCTTCGATTTGGTCACTGAAAAAATGTATATAATCTGCTTTGGAACTGCTTTTGATGCTCACTTAGTAGTCTGTTCACGCATCTTCCCAGAACCTCAAGTTGTTGTTTTTTCTTTCAAAACTGCCATAAGAACATTTCCTTGAGAGTCACATTTCTTCTCGGTACGCATAATTAAAGTTCTGAAGCTACCCTCCCCTTCTCTCTTCTTACATTTTCTTGCCAGTGGTTTAGCAACACATAAGGACCACTGCTGATTCACCCTCTGACTGAACAAATCCATTTGGCAGGGCCCAGTTCGCTCCTCCTGCGTGTCTCATTTTCACCTCAGACACTCGGGGGGGGGAGTGATGGAGCACTTTGACTCCCGTCTCTTTGGCATGTAAGCAGTGGGGTGGACATCGGTTTCCTACGAGGTGCGGATAGGAAGGTACGAAAGGCCGGCTGCCTCTTTGCCAACCACGGCGGCGCCGTAACATCAAGTGTGTCGATGTCCCGTTGAGCTCCAGCCTCTACGATGACAAATGTGTGGAATGGATTGCTCTTGAATGGTAACAAGGATGCCAGCTACAACTCAGCTGTTGATTCACAAAACTTTGATTTAATTCAGTAAACGGCACACAGCGGAACTGACTACGCCACCAAATGAACGTGGGGCAAAACAAGAACCAAGGGATAAAAAGTTAAAACAGTGTTAAATAAAGATGAGAGGAGGAATACAGCATATGTGTCAACTTCATCACAGCAGCACATATATTCCACAAGAAAAGCTGGTGCTCAATAGCACCCCCTGTATTCGGGAAGCTTTGCTTGTTTTCAAAATATCAAGTGCGCACTTTAAATCTAGAATACTATCAAGGACCTCCTGAGGTATCTGTGACGCAGCATATGATGTTTGACACCTGAAACTTAAATAAAGCTGCGTCATTACTGCGAGGCCCGCTGTAAAGCTTTGAGTTTCTATTTCCTACCAAACCACCCAAACAGCCACAAACCCTCTCGCGTCGATTTATGAGCATGTTTTTCAAGCGTACAAGTGATTGTTGCTGTGAAAACTGCCCCCTACCCCCCCCGTTTCTGGTAACACTGTCAAAGAAGCCCATGAGGCCATGGGGTGGTAAATGATCGTGTCAATATGTACTGCGTAACATCGTCCTCTCCCACAACAGGATTACGCACTATCCATCTCTTGCGCAGCATCCTATTCCGAGCTCTTCCTTGACACGCCATCTCTGCCGATTCCACGTTTTGTTTACATCCGCGTCTAATCGGTAAAATCGGGGCACAAGTTAAGTTTCTGGCCGTGCGCAACTACGCCGTCATGCCGTCGCAGTGTTTTCGACCATTGCAGCGGAAATTCCCTCTGGATTTTCATGTGGCTTCGCGCTGACGCAGTTTAATTTACCTGTTGTCAAATCGAGGGGATGAAACATTATGAGAGTAGAAAAGTGCGCACAAACCCTTTTCGCGAGCCAACGACCCGAGAATTCATCACTTTATTTTTTGTTTCATTGTTCTTTCTGGATTACACTTCAAACAAGCGCCCCTGAGCTTTATTCTTACCTTTTCATCCAGCACGCCAGTGGTCATGAATTACATAGTGGTATTCTCTACGCAACATACGCAGCATTATGTGGCTTTGGCCCTGTAATAACATAAATAACTTACGTGTTTATCCCAAAGGCTGCTTTGCTTCTGTGTCGAGGTTTGTCAGCCATTCCCCCGGCCGGCGTCAGCCAGACCCAGCCCTCACTGAATGGATATTCCACCTCGTTCGCGTTTCAGCCTTATTGTCGCTATTATCAGTCTCGGAGCGCACGTTTGTCACTGTGTATCCCTTAACGATTTTCCATAGCGCAACACGGGGGCCCCGCCCCTGACACTCCCCCGGCCGCCCATTGGCCGAGCAGGTTCCGGACTCTTTCCTCATCGCCAGAATCACATGTGGCTGACGCATGTTTACAAACATCGCGAAATCACATGGTAATGGGGCGCCGTTATACCGTAAACGACTTGCTTTTGACGCAACAACCAGATGTCGTGCCGAGTCTCGTTTGCCAATTAATTTGGGAAAAAGATGTTACAACGAAAACACAAGCCACATAGTCATATGAAATCCTTATAAAAGACAGAGAAAGGAGATTTATCCGATAAAATCTGGATAACCAATGTTAAAACTGTATCGGTATATGTATAGATCTTGATTTAGGATTTGCACATCGACACTGAAAGCTGCCAATAAACATAAAAATAACCTCAACTTGGGGTCTGCGGTTGATTTCTTGGAGATGTTTCAACACAAACAGGTTCACAACACATATTACAGACAAAAATAAGAGCCTATTTACGCCACAATTGGGAAACATATATAAAAAACAACAACTGAATATGGCAGGAAATAATATTTAAGTTGTTCATGATTGACTTGATTTCGTAAGGTCTGTGTTCCAATGTCTTGTAACGCAGTATGAAAAAAGAAAATCACAGTTGCAATGTCATCCCTGCTCCACTAGATGTCAGTGTAAGGCCAGAATATTTACGACGTTTTGGCAAACGTGTGCGTCGTGCGAGTACTTTTCCTTCTATTTCAAGTGGCTGTAGAGGTTTTCGTTGTAGTACGGAATTGTACCGTGGTTTACAACAGTTGCCGTATTTCATGGTATTAAGATTAGGACCTCGTCCAGCCACTTTCTGGGGGGAAATCCGTGTGGTTTAGAAAAAAAACACAACGGTTTGGATGACTAATTATGTGGTCCGAGTAGACATGGCCAACACATTACAAAACAATACTTCACTCACTTGTTTACTAGTTTCATTTACGGTAACTGAAGTGAATCATTGGGCTACTTCACAACGATTTACGGTATTTGAGCCGGGTTTTTTGGCGGGAAATCAACTGCTGGGACCTTCATGACAGTATAACGGTACATTAACCACTTCTTTCTCTTTTTTAACACTCCCACAGCCTTTCATCTGAGTAATGGGTTGTGCTGGCCCTGATGAGTTCTAGAATTTAGCGTATTTGTTGAACACCAGCCTGTCAGCTGAAGCAACAACAGATCCCCAATAGATGGAGACATAGTAGAAATAATGCTTTACAGGAAACAAAGACAGAACGTTTATATCTATGCGAGAGATGCATTACAACAACCAATTTCATTACTGCTAAAATTACTTTTCGCTATCCTTAAGATGATTTATTCCCTTTTTATTATTTAGTACTAGTTTACTAGTTCCAAACTTGATGTGAACCAATATGGCACAAGCTGTTATGTGTAATAAGCCTGTTTTTAATATATATATATATATATATATTTTAATATATATATAATTTTTAATTAATTAATTTTTAATTAATATATATATATATTTTATATATATATATATATATATATATATATTTATTTATTTATTTTTATTTATTTTTTTTAAAGAGAGCTGATGTGACTGAAACTGCTAACGTCACCTTTAGATATTACAGTGATGGACCGGTGCCGCCTTTTTCAGAGTCATAGCCAATCTGCTAGCAGGAAATGGTGCTGACATTTGCTCCCCCTGGTCTTTGAGGCAGCTGCACAGACAGCGGCAGCCTCTCCCCCAGCTGGCTCGCTAAGTGAACCATCCGGCAAACATGTATAGGCTGTCAGGATGCAGCAACAAGAGCTGAAAAAGGTCACTTCTGCCGGAGTGACTGGAGTGGCTTTAATGTGCTGTACATGAACACACAGAACCTGCCAGCCTTTGCCCGTGTGTGAGCTCCCTCTTTAGTGGATCCACACCTGCCCAGATGGCTTTGTAACTAAGCATTGTGTGAATTAATTGGGAGCCAGAGGGTCACTTTTAAGCTGCAAGAAACGGTCCATTATTAATTGGAGCTGCAATTACATGTTGTATAGTATGTTTTGTTTTTGTCATATGTGGAAAACAATGTTTTTGAGAAACAGCTTCCATATCTTTTTTATCAACAATTTATATGTCCTGCTGCTGATTTTTATATCTGCTCTATTATGAGATATATAATTATCTGTTCAGAGCGAAATTTTAAAGATTTTAGATCTTTTAGAGTGGACAAATTCCACTGAAGTAAGGATAGTCAAAGTTAGTGCACCTTTCATTATCATGGGCTTGCAGCTGTTACCACAATGTAACATTTCTCATTTGAATGTCTGGAAGATATTTGTCATCTAATCAACCAATTCTCCTTATCCCACCTACTGATTTAAATTTTGCAAACAGCTGAAGCAGCCTCATATCAAGAGTTGATAGCACATGAGAGAGGGGACAACAGGTGTCATAGCACCATATACAGACTGTGTTTATGGATAGGTGTGATGTCAAAGAATCACAGAGATGTCAAGTAAAAACATTAATTTACTTGTTAATGCAATAATGCAAGTCATTTTTAAGTGTAGTTTGTGTATATTATTCTGCACTCACATGAATAAATTAACGAAACAATACATATGAGAAGAAAGTTACAGAACAAGGAGGTAAAGAAAGTCAACGGAATAAATAGAATTAATGTGACTAAATAATTAGGCATGCAATCACGTGGGCTAGCATTACATGAAAATCAGAATAACTATTCATTTCTAAGTGTAACTGCATGGACACAGCATATTATTTTGTCAACATATTTAATTTTTATAACTACTACAATATAGTAATGTCCATCAGTAAAACTGGTTGATCCTTAATAGGCTGGTATCTCCTAACCGGAGCTTTTAGTTTCATAACAAATAAAGTTAAGTTGGCTGGAGCAGTCCAGGCTCTCCAAATGTCCCGCCAGTGAGAGGGCTCCACAGTGGTGGGTCCAGGCAGGGCACTCAGGAATCTCCCCTTGTCCCCAGGGCTGGTACTCTAAACGAGTCCCGTCCACCCACAGCCAGCTGTCGCCAAGGTAACGAAGACCGCTCCACACCTGAGCCGTCTGGGCCCTCATGCTTGACAGCAGGACCTCACCCACGGCAGCTTCGGAGGGCAGGCTGACAAGTTCTTTACCCGTGCTGCGACAGTGCGCCATTGCCTCTTCCCAGGTCTTATTTTCTTTCACCAAAACCAGCCTGCTCTCAAAGCAGTAGAAGGGCAATTTCTCGTCGCAGCTTGTAGTTTGCAGTTTTTCGTTAGACTCTTTCACACAGACGTCAGCTTCATCCTTAGGCTTCAAGTCGACGAACGCAGCAGTTTTCCCATTTATCCACAGCCAAACGCCATTGGTGTGGTTGTAGAGACCAGTCCAGACTACTTTGCTACTACGGTCTTGGTTGATCATTAAGGACAGATCTGTGTGATGATCTCTGCAGTAGTTCCGGGCCTGATGCCAAGTTCTTTCTTCCTTGACATAGATATCCTCTCCAAAGATGGCACAGAGAGACCCACTGAAGAGTCCTGTGAGGAGGAGGAATTTGAGACAGCTTGTCTTCATACTGATTGTTGTCATAAGAGTTGCCCTCAGTGGCGTTAGTAGATCGTGCCAGCTGTCTAAAAGACACTTGAGGAGACCCTTATGAGCCGAAGCAGCCAATCACAGGTTTTCTTTGACTTTATGAAAATCTTTGTGGAGGGCAGATGTACGGATGCAAATTCAGGACAGTCAAATTCGACATGTTTAAATGCGGAAGATTTCAATCGAAGTTGCAAATAAACCCCAAAGGAAAGCAAAAACTAAAGATTAGCTTAATGTGGATTGCTAATGGTCCCATTTATCCTGACACACCTTTTTTTTTTTGTGCTTATGAAAAGTTTTATGGCTTTAATCTAAAGGGATTCGATCTCAAACTATCATGAGTGGTAATTAAACACTGTGACAGAGTGTGACTCAATATTGAACTGTATACTTGAACTCTCTCTGGTACAATGTATGTGACTCAGGAGTTGTTCCATATTTAATCTCTACTTTTCTGACCTCACTTTCCCTTTTCTACTGACTTCACATTTTACTAATGGATTTGCCCCTCAGTGTAGTTTGCATTTTTATGCACATAACTTTGCATGACTTGCTGCGGAACATAGGACAGAGATAAGAGGGAGCTGTCTGATAGTCAACACTTTGTTTATTTGGGTAAGTGCATCCCTAATGACTCCTTTTCCAGGTGTATAATGTAGACAGTGATGGGAGTTACTAAATTTGTCAATCATTATAACAATTACATCATCACAATTATCTGCAACTTGATTCAGCCTGAGTTTTTTCTCAAACCGAGCCCTTATCAGTCCCTTAGAGGCAAAGCTCTGTATGTATGTTACCATTCTAAATGTATTTATGTGAAGCTTTTAAATAAACTTTGTTGGAATTTGGATGTATGAAATGTAATCAAAGCAACACAACCTGAACACAACTTTGAAACATTTTGTCAACAATCACAGTTTATAAATGAAAAAAACAAGCATATTTACACATGCAGTACATAAGTAAATGCAAAAGAAAAAAAAAAGGGAATGCTGAATCTGGTGTACGCCACAAAGAAACTCCCAGCAGTGATTTTCTCTGCTTCCTTGCAACTTCGTCTGATTTTAAGCAAGTTGCTAGTCTTCACCATTCCCTAAAACGATAGTATGGTAGGAACAAGTAGCATTTGTTGAAACAAAACTGTACAATAATGACAATCCCACCACAGACACAAAATAAAAATACAATTTGAACCTAGTCCCATTGAACTATGAACAGAGGTCAGTTACAGAGGTTTGTGTTGTTCAGTAGGCTGAAAGTCTACACACAACGGTTTTGTGTTTTTTGTGGAAACGTACACATTTCTAAAAGGTTGGTAGCATCATTGCATTTCTCAACAGAAACCAAAGGCCATGCTTGTTATTTTCCATTCAAATATTTCCCTGTTATTATCATGTCAGCTGATCTTAGGTTCCTGGGAAGAATTCCCGCCATGGCATGACATATTTCTTAATGACATCCAGCAAACTTAAACTTTCTGAATGTTTTTCATTCATTAAGGACAGTATGTTAAAGCAATAACCCCATAAAGCAATAAGTTACAGTCGCTTTAAAAACATCTCAAAATGTCTAAACGGTTTTCCTTCCTTGGTTTCACTGCTGCACAAATGCAAATTAAAGCAATAAAGCATTTTGTGCTTATTAGTCAGGGACCAACATTTGGCATTATTTTATGGTTCTACAGATATTTTCATAATAAGACTGATGTCAGAACAGTCAGTCAGTCAGTCAGTCAGCATAAGCGGGTTCTTCTTGACACCAGCAATAGTTGCCAATCTTCACATTACAAACACTGTCCCTATATCTCTTCATCATTTGCTTCATTGTCGTCATTATCTTCGTCATCCAAAGTGGTGCAATTTGAGGAGGAGGTGCAGAGTGGAATTCTAAGGGTTGTGACAGATTCTGGGTGAATTTGACTCAGAGGAAACAGAGGGGTTAATGGATGATGGGTAGAACAGCTGGTCGAGGGTGCTCTGGTTCACATCTCTGTGTCAGCCACTGGGGTCTGGGTGGCAGAGTGTCCATTAGTGGTGGGGGCCGAGTTGGTCCCGTTTTCCGGTGGAGCCTCTCCATTGACAGTGGGCTTGTCGAGGGGCTCCTGGGGTAAAGGGGCCACCGAAACCAGGGTGTTGGCCTGGTTCTCCTCATCTACCTGGAATGACTCGGCCTAAAAAGAAAAGAGAGGCCTCAGATTTATAACAGGGCTAATGGTGGAGACTGGAAGAAGTTGAATGCATACTGTCACAGGCAGTCCTGCAGGAACAAACAACCCAAAAGCACAAGTTGGTCCTTAGCAACATTGATATGCTTTATGAATGCCTGAAAAATAGATTTAAGCTTTAATTTTTCTCAATGGTCATTTTGGCAGGAAAAAAGAGTTTTAATAAAGTGAAAAAAGCTATTGTGCCCTTTGCCCAGAGCAGAAGATGATCATGGATTCAGACCAACGGGAAGACAGACTGGTGTCCCACATGTCCCAAATTAGTTGAAGTCTGTGAGCATTTTGACTAAAAACCAAACTGCTCATGTACACCTTAGGATTTTTCCTCTTTTAGAACTTGACACCTACTCAAAATGTTTCAGTGCATTAAATAGGTCTAAAGTTTTTCTATTTTTGAGTTTTTTTTATTATCAATGACTTAAATAGCTCCTCAATCTGCCAGCAGTGGATCTGTATCTGCTTGTAAACACTATCAGTCAATATGAAGTTTTTTTTAAATGTAAACAACTCTTGTTGTTGAGGCCAAACATCCCAATGGATGCAGAAAGCAGCTAGAAACAGTTGAATCCCTGTTATCTCAAACAGACACTTTGCTATTAAAAATTGAGAGAGGGGAGAAAAATCTTTCTTATAAATTACACATACATTAGTATGTCCAATGAATGCCTGAAAAATATCTAAAAATGTGAAACCTACTTAACCTACTAAATGTCAAAGATTCCCGTTTGCTTACTTCAGGCACACTTTGCTGAAATGCGCCCCTTTTCTGGGCTCTATGAACATGTGGAGCACAATATTTACAGAAAAGATCACCAATGTTAAAAATGTGACTCATTCATGAATAAATCAATTTTGATTCAGTGCACTGTGGATGCATCACGCTCAATCAGTCTGCCTTTAATTTGGCCTTTTTTGGTTATAATCTGAGTAATTAGTTGTGATTTGATTGGTTTAAAAAAAAAAAAGATTCATTCAACTTAATCGAAAAAAGAAAAAAAAAGTTGGAATGTCACCCATTCCACCCTCCCCCCACCCTTTCACGTGGCGAGTGATGTCACTACTTTGGAACCCGGGACGTCACAGTTACGTTGTGACATCGTACCAGAGGTTACATATAGAACCCAGAGCACATTCTTTTTCAGATCCTAGGAACTTTCCGAAGAATCTCATCGTATCACCACAGAGCCGCCTTTTTGAGCCTTTTTGCACCGCCTTTTAAACACTTCTAGTTATCTGACCATAGCTGACCACAGCATAATGAGTCAAACTAAAGTGTCTACCGGACTCCTCTGGAGCGACATGGTAGAGGACTACTTGGAGGAAGTCGTCGGACTCTGCTTTCATCCGTACGTGGATCTTAAAGAAGACACGTACGAGGAGCCGGCCGGCATGTCTCCTCCAAAAGAACAAGACCTGGTCAAGACAAACCAGAGCACGGGGCCTCCGTCATCAAAGGACACCCGGTTCAGGATAAATCTTGGCCAGGCCCGGATGCTTCGACACAAAGAGTTCCCCCAAAAGAACGACTTTGTGAAGACCAACCGGACCAACTCTGGACCTCCGCAAACTCAAGACATCCGGTTCGTGACCAGTGTTCCCCAAGCAAATGAGTTTCAACACCTCAAGGCGTTGAAGAATCCACCGTTACGTCAACCCAGAACTCATTGCAAGCAGGTGGAACACAAGAACCGTCAAGTCGATCATGCGAGGGCCAAGAATCAATACAAAAAGGTCAAGCAAACACCAAAGGACCTTGGGAAGAGAAGGTTGCGCTCTGCTCTACCCGTACGGGACCTACGGCTTATGGGAAATGCTTCCCAGAACCCAGCAGGGCATCAAGTCACACGGTGGATTCATACCCCGAAAACTGGGAAAGTTCTAGAACTGAACTTGCGAGGCAAAGAGGTCGATGAAAAACCGAGCGACCTTGAGAAAACAAAGTGGTGCTCTGCTTTACCCGTGCAGGACGTACGGCTCATGGGAAATGCTCCCCAGAACCCTGCTGGAGAATTCAAACGATGGATTTACAGCACAAAAACTGGGAAAGTTCTAGAACTGAACGTGCAAGGCAAAGAGGTCGATCAAAAACCAGACGACCTTGAGAAAACAAAATGGCGCTCTGCTCTGCCTGTACAGGACGTACGGCTCATGGGTAAGGCCTCCCAGCCCCGCAGACGGTGAAATAACATCACACCAAGCACCTCCATCTGTACTGAAAAACACAATCTCAGGAGCTAAAGCTATTTTAGTCTCCAAAAGCAGCACTAACATGTTAGTCTGCTTTTGTACTTATTTCTTGATTAATTAGTCCTTTTATTTTAGCTTTGTACATAGTAAGTAGTTGTTAACATTTGAGTTTTTTTGCAATGTAGACCCCAGCTGGTCGAGGCAGATGGCCACCCTCCCTGAGTCTGGTTCTGCCAGAGGTTTCTTCCCGTTAAAGGGGAGTTTTTCTCTCCACAGTAGGAGGGGGATTGCACCGAACAGAAGAGTCGGAGCAGGTTTCTGGTTTCTTTAGCTAGGAACTTTTTTCATCTGTGCGTTCATGAACTGAATTATAATTGGCTTAGACAGTATTCATGAAGAGCCTGGATATTGTATATATATATATATATGTTTTTTTGACAAAAACATTTTTAAAAATCTCAGCAAAAACAAAAAACGTCCCCCCCCGCTGAATCGCCACCTTACCGTGGTGGGGGGGTTTGCGTATCCCAGTGAACCTGAGTGTTGTTCTGTCATGGGCGGTCAGTCCCTGTTAGGGGCCCCCATGGCAAATGCATCTCAGGAGAGGGGTCAGACTAAGAGCGATTCATAAAAAACATCAAATGATCTTAAACTGGGTACCATCTTGGAGGCCGGCCCAGGGTGTGGCTGAGCGCCTGGGGGCCGAGCAGGGGCCCTTGGGGCTTAGACTGAAAAAGAGACAGGAAGCCTCCTCCAAGTGGACCCAGTGAGATGTCATGACTTGTGATTTGGGGCTTTGGATCAGACAGTACCTGATTAGGAGGAATTCTATTCAATAGATACGTCGCTTATTCAACAAGTTGATGCTAAACAGTCACATGGGAGTGTCACCATATGTAAATGCTTTAAAGGATTGTCTCACAAGCTTATTAACATGGCCAAATAAAACCATCTGCAGATCCCTGGCAAAGGTTTGAAGACGAAACAGTTTTGAAGACCATAGTTCTGCTTTGAGTTACGTTTGATTCAAACACGCCTTCCCTTGTGCCATGAATGGAGGGGTTAACTATTGATTTGATCTTTAATACATCTGTAATCTCTTCTCAGGAAAAAAGTCACTCTGCCAAATTTCCTTAGAGAGTAACATCTTTAATAGCTGCGTAACATCTTAGCTTACGTCTGTAATGGTCGTTCCAGTTATTTTCTGACAGTATGTTCTCTGCCATTGTATTTTGTCTCATGTCTTCTCCAGTGTCTCCATCTTTGATTTAAAATGAATGAGATAATAACAGTGGTTGATAGCCACGAAAACTAGCATTTTCTTTTTTTACAATAGCTTTGCTTACACAGTGACATTACGAACGGTGTTATTAATAAAATTAAATTCAGGTTATTTTGTTTTTGTTACTTGGACAGCGGATATTCAGTTTAGAAAAACCATGTCCACAATCCATCCGATGAGGCCTCTCCAATATTTGTTCACATCTAAATTCCTAATTCCGTTTATACTCCATTTTTAAACTGACTGGAGGAGTAAAGAGCGTGCATTTCAAACCATGTTATATAGTTACAGTGATGTTAAAGTGTAGACATAATGTAAATGTTGCTTAAGTGTATTGTGACATATTCAGACAACTTACCAGTCTCACTCCTTTGGAGTTTTTGTGATGTGTCTTGAAGTAATAGCCAGCTACTAGCAGAGCTGCCAGCAACAATCCAGTCAACAGCAGCGAAACCAGCACCAGCTTGGAGTTCTTTCCCCAACGAGGAACAGCCTGCTCAACATCAATCTGAACACACACACACATGCACACACACAGTTATATCCTGTGATTCATTTAGAAATGATCAAACACAATTTTGTTGCATTGGTTTGATTTCTGAAAATGTCCAATATTCAAATAGTTTGGTTTTGTTTATTAAATTAATGTTTGTAAAAATATCCTTCGGTAGAATCCAACATTAATGGAAGTATTTTATTTTTTTTAATGCCAGTATGCTCACTGTAAACTTTGTGAAAACACGTTACCGTGCCCTAAACTGTGTATGAGGAGTAATGAGTGCAATGTTGAGTATGTTGAAAGCAAAGATACAGATTACGCTAACAGGCGCACCCTTAACCCAAAACTCGTCCCAAGGTATTAGAGACATTTTTTCGCTGCTGACGAGGGAAATGTTTGTGGGAATTTTGTTTGTGACACCAACTATCAGACTGACAGCTGTGTTTTTTCTTTCTCCCTTGTGTATTTCAAGTTTCATTATGACTAACCCACAAAGTTTAGCTGGCTTAGTCAATTGAAACCATTGCTTTAGGAGAACTCCTTTACATCCCTTTCAGGATGAATGGAATGATTTATATCTTGGTTAAGACATTTGGGATTCCTTTGACTTTATCTTAGCCTTGTCAGCGGGGAAATATTTGGGGAAATTCACTTAGACATCTTTATCAAACTGTAACCGTAACAACCCAGAAATACAAATATATCAACAAGACTTACTTTATCCTTTACGTTGTCATTGTTGAACTTGTTGACCATCCCTGTGAGATCATCTAAAAATGCCCCCAAAAAAAAAAAGATTAGAAATATTTCATTCTTGTTTGCAAAATATCTGTGGTCCTTTGAGAGAGGTAACTGTTGTGATCAGATGTGTGTCCATTAAGGGGACGAAAAGGCTTTTCTATTATTTGGAGCGGTGGGGATGATATGAATGCATGTTTAGCTGAAATGGAAAGGTTTTATTCATCCATCACTTTATTTTCTTGTTACTGACCTTCAACATTTTTCCCAGATATCAGGACTTCATCCGTGTTGACTTCCTGATAGATTTCCAGTTTGCAGTCTCCATCACACAAGTTGTCGATAACATCCTCAATTTTTCTTAATGTTTCTCCCTACAAAAGCCAAGAAGAAAAAATTGTCATGACAGAATCTGAGTGCCTGGAGTCATTAACATCAAAACTTCACTTTCATTTCTTGACAATCAAATCTTAATTTCTCTTACAGTCTCAGCTTCCTACCCACAGTATTGTCTAATGCTCATTTCCACAACAATAAAACAGAATAGAAACACCAGGTTCATTAATAGCTTGTCCACATAAAAATGTCTATCAAAGGGAGTTCTTATCCAGAACTTATCCAAAGTAAGAATAAGAATAAAGAGGACAATTCCACATCTTTTGTGGTATCGCCTGAAAAGTCTGATTCACATGAGTTTTTAACCAAGTGCGTGGGGGCACCAGAAACCTCCAGCCTTATTAGCCGGTGAAGAAGCATGTTAGAGATATACCTGGAGGCTTCACTGTATAAACCTGTCAAATGTATGACTGATATTTTAATATAACATCTATGTATGTGCAGTAACAACATTTCAGCAACACTTTTCTATCGTTTTGAATGAGTGGATATCTCCAGCTTGTGTCCACAGTCAACACCCACTTTTTTACTTTCATATATATATATATATATATATATATAGTTTATTAAGTATTTCACCTGGGGCATTCCACATGTCTTTATAAAAACAGGAGTCAAAGCCCATAGACGGTTCTCTGTATTATAGTCTTTAGCTGTGAGCTTAGTTGATTCCCTTATTTGACCCAGGATTCATCTTTCTTCTGAGCACAGTCATCTCTAATCCTAAGTAAATAACAGTTGCACTGCCTGACATCAGCCGACGACAGGCTGACCGTGACATGTAAAAATCATCTTTAGAAAGATAATGTCTTTGTTTGACTACACAAAATGCAACATGGGTTATTGCTGTTTGCATTATTCATAATGTCGGATAATACCTTCACTTCAAAGGCTTATGGGAGCTGTGGATAAATGAAAGTGTGTGCGCAAAGGGTTTAGAGCCAAGCAAATAGGTGCAGAACCGAAAGCTGTAATCCTGAGATAGAAGAAGAGTTTATCATTGAAAAAACAAATACACCCTAACACACACACACCCACTCGACCACCTCAGGCAACTATGCATTAATAATGCCTCAGCTGCATTGAGCCCACCCATCGAGCACCCCTCCCTCTGCCTTTACAGCACAATCCATGCTTTAGGTTACATTCAACAAAAATTTCTTGGACTTTTTAACTATCCGTGTTAAGATCTGTGTTTTCCTCAATTGAGGAAAATCTATTTACAGGTGTATTTTTGAACTCCAACAACATTAACATTAATGTCTCTTAAGGTTTCTTTTTGTCATTGTACCAATTTTATATTTATTCTTTGCCATTCCACATCAAATTAAAGCTAAAAATGTAAAGAGTTTAAAGGAACTTACGCAGCTGGAGGGCGTCTTGACTTTCAGGCTGACAGCGTTTTTTCCTTCCACAGCGTCTTTGGTCACACAGGAAACGCGTCCCTCAGGCGCTGGCTACAGAGAGAGGCCGATGCTTGTTAGGCTCTTAAATATACGTCATGAGATGCTTTGCACATCTGCCTAGCAGAACATTTTGCTGCCCTTTGGGGACACCAATGGGTGTGTATGAAACCAAGCAGAGGGCTGCTCTTGGTTAGATCTGCAACTTTGTTGATTTGTTAGCCTCCTCAACTGTCATAATGCCAAAGGACGAGGGCATCTATTACTGAAAACATACCCAGAATCCTTTGCTGTGTGGTGACTAAAAGCAACATAGATGGAAACCTTTCGCAAACATACAAAACAGATTTCCGTTGACCCGTCTCTTCATTTCGTTACCACTTATCTGTTTCCTGAGAGAAACAATTTTATTCTTTGTCGATAAGCGTTTCAGTAGAATGGACTTTGAAGGGGATTTTTAGGGTTAGAGTCAGGGTTAACTGCTTATGTCTGTGTTGCTTCATGTCACTGATTTGACAACCTTCTTTTAGCTTACCTTTGGGATAACGATCGCTCCATCACCTCTGGGAGGAACAGGCGCCGGTGTTTCCGGGTTCACGGGAGTCCGCTCAGTCTGAACCTTTTCTGCTGAGCTGGTTCTTTCAACTGTTGCTTCCTCAGTTGTAGGGCCACTGTTGTTGTTTTCTTCTGCCTCCGCTGTTGTTTGTTCAGAAAGGTCTTGGATTATCGCAGTGGGGTAAACCACAACTTGACCTTCTGCATCATCTGTTTCAGTCAAACAAAAAAACTGATGGTTAATTGATTATCTATGAGCAGGGAAAGCCAGTATACTTAAAAAAAAACTCTTTTAGATTTTTGCACTGAAGCTAAATACCAGATCTGAGGAAATGGGCTTATAAAATAAACACTACTTTCTGAAAAATGTTATTTCAGTAGCAACAAACATTTAGACATGTTTTGGTTTAGTATTAAGAGAATCCATTTTAACCACATTTTTAACATTGATATCATGTTTAGGCCATGTAAAAATAATAATCAATAAAGATAAAGGAGGAAATGTAAAGAGGCAAAAGCAGTGGAAGAGTGTAAGATTGTATTTCACTATGCTTATTCATTTTGTGACCTGTGTTCTCAGGGGCATCAGTTGGCAGAACCATGTCTCCACGTACAAAACCATCTTCATGGGCCTGCAGTGATATAATTGTGGGGACTTCATCCTGCATCAATACTCCTGCAAAATAAGAGGAAAAATTTCTTGTTAAAGAGATTGGAAATGTGTATTTAAAAACTAGGGCAGATATATAAAAAGGATACAGTCGCAGAGCATTTTCCAAGTTTAACAAATATACAAACAAATTCACCATATTTACTTTACTACAGAATAAATATGAGATGTAAGTCATTCTAAAATATTGAATGCAGTGATTAACCGCTGAAAGTCACATGATCCCAAATTAGAAGAGCTTGTTTCCTATGTTGGTTACAAAATACTTCATCAAAACTCTTGATGGTATTTTTTTGTTTTTTTTCAAACGTTTGTTTCTTTGGTTAGATAATTTGGCAGTCAGAAATGCAGCAGTTAAAACACAAAAGTTCATGTTTCCATCAGATTTTTCTTGGCTGATGCAGTACAAACCTGGTGTCACACCCTTGAGTCATGATGATATAATCAGCCAAGAGTTTTTATTGCTCTGATTTCTTAAGTTCACGTTACAGGGTTGGATAAAAATTAGCAAGCATTCATTACTTTAACTCATTTCTCCCTGACAAAAAAAGCATTACCTCATTCTAAAAACATCTCTCAGCGCTTTGCCTCCACAGATCTCATTACCACTTTGATCTTACTGTAACATAAAGGAACATTATTGGATTTCTTTCTTTCTTTTCCAAAATCTGTACTGATTAATTGAGCACAGGGTGCAAGAATGTTTACTCACAGAATGGGAAAATGCTTGTTTTTATGCCTGTCAGACTGAAATGAAAAGAGTCTTAAAACTTAATGGAAGAGGCTTCTGCTTTTGTCTTTCTGCCGCATAAGGGTTTTATGAAAGCATTATCAGTTGCCCAATGACAGCAAGAGGGACTGTTCAGTAACTCTGTTTATTTTATTATTACTCTAAAGCAGCTATTTATGTATTTAAGTTCTGCTTTTTTTTCTGTTGCACTCCTTTTGTCATCAGGTCTTAAGATCCACACTGAGATGGCCTCCTGCTTACCGCTTTGGGTAAATCATCTCGACAGACAGGTGCCATGAGAACAGAGCAAACTGTGTTAAAAAGGTGGCTGGGTAATCTCTGGGGCATGTTTTGTGTTAGCAACTGTCCGGTGCAGCTGTCTGACATGCGGTAGCTGTTTCACACTTTATCACCTTTCTGAAAACGCACAAAGCCTCCAACTTTTAACTCAGATTTTGAGTAGCTGTTTCAAAAGTGCTGTAAAATGACGGATTTTTTCATTTGTGGTTGCTCTCATTAAGTTTGTAAAAAAAAAACAGTGACCAGTTTTGTCTCTTGGAAGTCAATCCCACATGCTGCTTCAACAGGTTGGATTGGTGTTAAACTGTATGGTCAATGTACAATAATGAAATCCTTTTTACTGTCTAATTCACAAGTAGGACCACGTGGATCAGTCAGCAACTGGCTTTTTTTTTTTGTTAGGGCCATCCCATAGATTGCTTTCGTAGCCTGTGGTCTACAGCTGCCATCCCTCCTCCACGTCCGGGTGGTCTGCCCGTTTATTTACCACAGAGGATGGGGTTTAAAGTGGGTGAGATGGTCAAACATGAAATGGGTTTTCTCAAACAAATACGACATCCAGGAGTGCTGAGGCTGAAATGTGTTGTTTCAGTGCTGTAATCTGTCATCTGGAGTCTCAGTTGACTTGAAGGTAAAAATTCCAACAGAGGTTTTGAAAAATAAAAAGAGGAAATTTCCAACACTGCGCCTGATGGGCCAGTTCGAGGTCTGGGTTTTTGTCTCTCATGGGATATGTTGGCGATATTGTGGTAAGTGCCTGGAAATGACTTTGCACTTCCTTGACAACCACATCAACACTGGCACTGTTTAAGAAAATTTCCTTCACGAAGGGGAACTTTGGATCCTCTCTGTAAAAAAAATCAACTCTTTTACTGGTCTTGTGCTAATGATGTCATAGAACTGCAGTACGGTCGTAAAACTAAGCTGCTGTATTTTCATAAAGCAAACAAGCTTATTTAGCCTCGGGCACAATGAGAGCACAAGGCTTACTTTGTGCAACACGGCCAGCAAACTCTGTCCAGCTCCGACCGACCATCACATATTGCACATAAACGGGCATCCCTTCCACACTCCAAACCACATGGAATCAAACGTCTGGGTCTGATCGTCCTTTAGCTTGTGGAAGACCCCCTTTTTGTTCATCGATATGACCACACAAAAGTTTTCAGCCATACATTCTAACTGTTTTGATAATGTTTTAATGCATTTGAACATGAGGTCAGTAAAATGCTTCAAATTACCTCTGATATCCATCATCCCCTATTTTTTTATTTCTTAGGCAGTGGTACTTTGGGTTGTAGCTAAATGTGATTTTAAACGTGAACTCTCAGATCCATGCACACATATACATACGTCAACATACACACATATGTGGTGTAAAAGTATTGGAGGTTTTTCTTTCATTCCTTCTTTTATGAATCTTTACAAAGTGGCCAAGATAACAGTCATCAGCCATGCATTAAGCAATCATTGTAAAAACATTACAAAACAACCTAATGAGGGCATACGCAATATGTTTTTTGGCGTCGGCTGTGACTTCACAGCTTTCTTAAATATTTTCCCTCCGAATTCCTCTGAATGACGGCTGCGGTCTGGATATGCTCCATACCCCCCCACCGTCTCTTGGGACCATGGATGTAGGAATGTGGCAGGCTTTGGAAGAAGACAAGCCCCTCGTCTCCACGCCCTTCTCCCTCCCAGGCTTCCTCTCTCTTTAGCCTTTCCAAGTCACGCACAGCTAATCCAAAACAATCCAGCGAGTTTAGATTTAGACTTCAGTCCTCACACCTTGCACACATCCCAGGAACCACATTTTAATGAAAATCTTTTCTCTATTACTCCCAAAGAGTGAGCTTACATGTCCTCGTAATGTTTTTAACAGATAAACGTTTGGAAACACACAATATCTCTCCCTTATGTAATGTCACAAAACAACTGTGCTCCAGACATTTTTATTTTATTTTTTGTAACTGCTTCACAGTTTGGACTTAAACAGAAACGTTTTTTGGGTTTATTTGTTTTTTTGTTTTAAGGTTTATTCAGCTACCAAGCAAACTTACAATTTTTTTTTAAAGAGGCTTGAATCAATAAACTTTTCTGTGTCGAGCTTGCCCGTTTTCCCTGTGTGTGTGTGTGGGTTCTCAGGTACTCCCCCCACCATCCAAAAACATCCATGTAGGTTAATTGGATACATTGATCATTCTAACTTTATCTTATGCAAAACCTGGAGATGCTTAAACCTTTACAATAAATGGGGTTAAAGCTTCGATTCGGGACGAGGTATGAAAGTGCACATCAGTGTTTCCTGTTAGGGGAAACTAGTCCTGTGTAATTGGTCATGGAGAGGTGATAATGGTGTGCACATATAAGAGGGCCAGCATGTCAAAGACCCTGACACTTTGTCAAACTCCCTGTCACTGGGGCACCTTTCTGGCAACAGACAGCATGTTTAAAAGGGAAACAAAATAGTAATTCATCTGACATTTTCATTAATGAAGTGGCTGTTTCAACTTGTCACAGCTTTGTTTATGAGGTCACCTGTGCTAACTGTTGTGACTGAAGATAAATATCCTCCAACAAAGTATTCTCCTTTTCTTTTTGGGGCCATATTAAGCATATTTTTGCAGGACAGTGTGTTTTAACATTCACTATGGTTACATGTACAGCTGACTCAAAGTCCGGTATTCATATATGTTTATCCTTTAAGTTTATCAGACTAACTACAAACATTTCAAAAGTTCAGTTTTAAGTGAATGTGTACTATATTGATGTAGAGGGGGGCCAATATGTGCAGTCCCTTTACAACCCCACTGTGGGAGTCCTGCAAACTTAGAATTCAGGTCAATATAAATACATTCCAGATTTCCAATGTTTTATCATTGTTTCAGTGATTTTTTTGTTGATTCACCTTTGTTTCATGTTGGATCGGTTGTTTTCCTGAAACGGAGTGTTTTCACAGTTTAATGTCCAAGTCCACTTTAAGAATCTAAATTTGTTAAGAGCCTCCTGTGGAATGTGACATTGGAGCATAGACTCATAAGGTTAAACATGCTCTGCAACCCTAGCCTCTTTGAAACAACAGACTGCTGACCCCATCATCTTGACCCCCCCCCCTCCCCCCAGTGGCCCCTCCCCTGTCATTCCTGTCACGGCGATTAATAGCAGCACCCCAAAGCTATTCTTCTCTAATGGCAGCAGAGAAACGGGATCTTATGGTTCCAATCAGGCAAAAAAGCAGCATTAACTTCACCCACCGCTGGCCAGCTGCGAAATTCACCCGACCCAACCCTGAGGCCTCTGCAGACTCTTATCGAGAACCTGATGCCTGTTTTCAGGGACCACAATCAGGAAAACATGACATCTGCTTTCAATTGCGGGCATTATATCATTCCCCCACCAACTCCCCCAGCTCAAACACACCCACACTCACAGATGCCTGCTAAAGTTTCACAGCCCTCTGCATCGCCTGGAATGAGCCCGTCTGTTTCCAGTGTTTGCAGGTAGGCGCTGAGGAGCTCCCTTTGTGAATGAGGCACACACGAAGCACCAAAAAGCTCACCGCTTCTACACTGATTCTGTCCAGAAAGTGTTTTGATCAGACTGTATGTGTCAAACATTAAGCAGAGTGATTAATTCTGCTCATCTCTGCAGTTGGTATTAAACCTATCAAGATGTTGGACTATAACTATCTTAGAAATTGAAATTGCAATGTAGAAATTGTTTACATTCAGCGCATTGTTAAGAGTGTTTCAGTCTGAGACAGACGCCTTCCTTTCTCTCTCGCTCTGACACACACCAACACTTTCTAGATGCCGGATAAGGCTGCCTTTTCGACTTTGCCATGCAAATAATTGCATACATTTGAATACCCGCTGAGCAATGATAGTACACAAGTACAGAGGCTAGAATAGGTTCAATGACAAAGTTGTTGTATTTTTTGGGGGGGGGAAAAGTTCCCCAGCCCCTTTTTTGGTTCTGTTTTAAATTAGGAGCAGATTAAACACACTCCTTGTGTTCGACCACTTAGATGTCTCCTTGCCACTGCTCGCTCACTTGACTCAGATTTGACTTGGCATGTTATCAGCTACTTTCCTCATGAAAAGAATGAACACTTCATTGTTGGCATTGTGATTGTGGTTCTCTAGTGCATCTGTTACTTCAATGAGTGGAATGAAAACAATGATTTACATAATTACATGATGGGGCTGGCAGTGAGGTTGAACTGGGTTCATTTCTTGACTGTAGACACTCCTTAAACCACTTCATAGCGCATGCACAGCTCAAACTGTGACGTAAACCTTATTTTGGATAGTTTGAAGGTTTTGAAACGTAAATTGTCCAAATTACAAAAAAAGGGTAGAATCTTCTATGCATTTTTCAGTTGTTCTTCTTCACTACTTTTCTCCTCTCAGTGCGTTTTTTTGCTTGGCCCACTTATTTACTGGACCACATTTCCTATGTACACAAACACAGTTAGTTATGAGCCTCGTCCACAATTCTCAACGCACAGCAAACAAAACACCCTTTGCCCTTGCCAGAGGCCATTTTTTTGTTTTTAAACTTCACCTCCATCAGATAATCTACTGCCCCAGCAACAAAGCAAACTCCCAACTGTTCTCCTGTGCCAGCATCCTAACTTTCCATAGCAGTTATGCCTTTATACCATTCAAATATGCACCTTTCCACCAGACAGTGTTTGCTAGTTCATTTATATGACTGGATGCTTCTTTATTGCTGCTTACAACATCAAGATGCAGAGTCTGACTGTGAAAACACGTCAGATTTGAATAAGCTTTAACCGTCTTGCTACAATTGTCCAAAGAGCCACAGCCACCTCTGGGTTAAAATTTATGTTTCCGTATTTTTCCACTTAATTGGAAAATCTTTCAAGAATTGTTTAACTTAAGTGCAATAAGCATGAATGTGTTGGTTGTTTGGCAAAATCTGGGATTAATTATTATATGCATTATTGAAGAAAAGATGGAGGGTTGCATGGTGGTGTGTTGGTTAGCACTGTTGCCTCACAGCAAGAGGGTTCCTGGTTTGAATCCCTGGGGGACTTTCTGTGTGGAGTTCACATGTTCTAACTGTGTCTGCATAGGTTTCCTCCAGGTACTTCGGCTTCCTCCCATCATCCAACAACAATTTTAGGTTAATTGAGGACTCTAAATTACCCCTAGGAGTGAATGTGAATGAGAATGTGTGTGGTTGTTTGTCTGTGTGTGGGCCTAGGATGGACTGCGGACATATTCAGGATGTACCTGCCTCTCATCCAATGACAGCTTAGATAGGCTCCAGACCCCCCTTTACCCTACTAGGAATGAGCGGTACAGATAATGGATGGAGGAAAAGATTAAATGAAGTAGAATCAGACAGGAATCTTTAAATTATAGTGGATTTACGTCTTTTCCCCGCAAATTGAGCCAGAAATCCCCACCTTATCGCCTGGAATTAAGAAGAAGCCTATAACTTTGTAATACAGCTTCGCCTGTTTTTGATCATCACCTCATCCTCTGCTACAAAAACACCCCTTGAGGTCGTCTGGGTAACTGCCACAACCACACCCACTAACATTGTTGTGCCTGCTTTGATTTGAAGAGAAGTTGGACAGTAAGCCCATCTTTGTGCAGATAAAGTCCTCCAGTGTTCCGGGATCTTCCGATTATGCAGTACAATTCAATAAGATAGATACTTTATTCAAATCCTGTTACAATATCCATCGTTAATCACTATTCAGAGGTATACGCTTGTCCAGACAGTGCGTGCGATTTGCTTCGTGTTACTTTCACTTAGAGGTGGTCATTTAAACAATTTTCTTCACTTTTCCCAAGAGCAGAGTAAAATTGTTTTTGAGTCTCACATTGAGAATCCATAGGTCAAAAATTATGCTGGCACAGTTTTATTCCACAAATCAAATGCAGCTGCCCATCTTGGCTGATGAGCTCATCCACATAAGCTACATCCCATGAACAAGGCAGGCGGATTGAATTAAGGAATCCAGCATGAGAACCATTTCCACCCACAACTAGAAAGACTGCAGATGATAGTATAGCTGTGTTTCATTCTATGGACTACTTTTTCTTCTTTTTTCACATTTAAATTACTTCAAACCTGCTCAACTTTGATTGGTTATTAAGATTCTAATTGGTATCTAATTGTAAGGATATTTTTCTCTATGCATTGAATATTTTTTGTGTTTTTATACATCCAGCTTTTCTTCATATTAATGCTAAGTCAAGCAGTGTTACTTCATTCAGAAAAAATAGAGAGAGTTTGTACCCTTATTTGTTCAAAGTTGGCATTGATTTGTTTCAGTTTTGTTTTGATATAAAGAGCTGTGTATTCCTGGGAGCAGTTCTGTTTCAGTTCAGATTTCACTAAACTAAAACTGCTGCATCAAAAAGTCAGAAAACACTGTCAGACACAACAAAGAAGCCTTATTCACAGCGCGTAATTGAATTAAATCAATTTAAGTGCAGACATGGAAGTCTATCAGTTGGATTGAGAAAAACATGGGGGATGATGCATGCAGGTTCTTTGTTGGTTCTCAAATAATCCATCCGTACAAGTCACGTGTTCCTCACGACACAGTTTAACATCATCATCTTACTGAGTCTCCAGCTGCAGCCACATTATAGATGCATGTTAACTACCGAATTCCACACCCTTCTTTCACTCACGCTCAGAGTGGCCTCACATTACGGCCAGCTAAATATAAACGCAGACATTTCTCAAAGTCTTTGAAGATCATGGGAATAAAGTCATAAAACAGCAAACTCGACACAAGATTAGGGTTCACAGAATAAAAATGGAAAGTAAATCGAAAGTTGGAAATTGGCAATATCACGGAAAACCTTCATCATCACATTTTCAGATTTGAAAAAAATTCTTCATCAAATTATAATTTAAGACTTCACTGTGCTGCCATATAGTGTTTTTTAAAATGTTTCCTTTGTCTGCTAAGTTTTATTTCAAAATGCTCTTTCTCTCAGCATCTTGATAAAAACATAGATTTAGCTCCATCCATTTCAAAACACAAGAAAACATTTTCTTTGTGTTCCAGAGTGCGATTTGTAGGCTAGCATTCCAGATAGTGAAACAGTTGTAGGGTTAAAACCTGGATTTAGCTCAAGGACCGTTCAAACAAACACTACTCCACCCCAGCCCCACCCCTCCTGGCCCTCCCTGTTCCACCAAATGGTCATTTGATCCCTGAGACTGGACCCTCTCTTGGCATGAAGTATTTTTTTTTTACCTACCATTTAAAAGCGTGGCGATGAGAAGCAAAGCAAAAGGCGACATTTTGCTGGGACCGCTTGTTGTCTGTGCAGATGATGCTGCTATTCTTGTCCTGAGAGCGCGCACACGCGTCCAATGGGTGTGAGAGAAAGGAGAGGGAAAAAGAAAAAAGGGCAACGCTGGTTTGAGCCAGAAGAGTTTTGGGTTTCCTCTTACCCCGAGTGGGAAAGGGTGGATAAAGCACCACTTGTGTTCTGTCAGTTTTTATATGGCCAGCCCCCCTTCCTCCCTTACTAAGGCCCAGCCCTACACCCTATATTCCACTGGTTGCTTTAACCCTTCCTCTGTGCCCCCACCCCCCCCTTTAAGAAGAAGCAAGACAGATGGAGGGAGAGAGGATAATGGAGTCTTTTTTGGATGTTCGGCTTAGAAAAAAACTGAACATTCTTCGAATACCTCTTAAAGTTTCAGTGTGTATTCAGCGATGTGCTGTATATATATTCGGAAATAATAAAAGCTCAGATAAGTTGTGATCAGTGTTAATTTTTTCCTGCCTTGCTCGCACTGAACTATGACGTCTGCTTGAGTTGTGAACCCCGTCTGCATGGGAGCAACAATCCACCTCCCGATATAAGGTGATAGCTGACAATAGGTTGTCACATTCAAGTCCTTAATAGGCTTATGGAGATAAGGCACAGGAGAGAATATCATATTCGAAACAAAGGTGCAGTCCACTGTTATGCTAATAGTTTTAATCCATTTCAGTGGCCTGAGGCCCCCGACACTCAGCAAGGCCATCAATCAGCAGCAGCATTTGTTGAGACACCGCAGGATCCGCTTAAGCCTTTCACGCTTCCACAGACTCCTCGGAGCACCCCCTGAAACTGGAGGGTCTTTGCTTTCCTTTGTGCAGTCTCATGTTTGCACTTCTCATGCTCCTTATACACATCTGGAAACACTGTTGAAGGTATGCTAAACGAGTTGTTAAAAAGAGCCAATTTTAAAAAAAGCAAGAAAGCAACAACAACGTCAAACTAAGAGAACCAAACTGGACCAAGCTGAGTCTTCTATTATGTGTCAGTCATGTAATTTGATACCAGTCCCCTGTCCCAGTTCTGGGCCCGTCCTTCCCCCCACAGTCACATTTCCTCCTTGTTACCCCCTTTCTTTTACACCAGACCTCTATCAAACATACAGCTCAAACAGTGGGATGCCGAGGTGGGCAATTGGCTCCTCGCTGTGATTCGAGATGAGCTGAAACAGAAGGTTGTGCTGCGCCCATTACAGCCACAGATATACTGCTGAAGTCATGTCACCCCAGTAAAACATTAATTAGACTGTTAGCCAGTTAAGTATTTCTGCTGCTCCGGACCTTTTGAATCATTGCTTCCTGTCAGATGCAGCAAATCACAAAACATAGCCTTTATTTTTTGTCAAAGAACGTCAGGATCACAACTTTTATGGACTTCAGAGTAGCAGATATATACCTGTTGCTGTGACTTGTGTATAGAATGAGTGTTTGGTTTATTTTCTATTTGTGCTATTGTTTTTTTTGTTTTTTGTTTGTTTGGATGAAAACAAAAATGAAAATGCCGTAAGAATATATTCTAAGCACTAAAAAGCTTCTCTCTTCTCCTCTTTTCTGTCAGTATTTGCTTTCCTCTATTATTTGATATTTCTGTTATATAAAAACCAACACAGGCAGTATTCCTGGGAAAACTTAATAGCCATTTTCAGGCAGTATTCCTGTGAAATGTCCGCCTATAATTTACTCACTGGCCGTCTGTGATTTAAAGCATGTGCCTGGCTTTGTATGACTTTATTTGTTTATGGTATATGGACTGTCTTGCACATCTGTTGCAGTTTATGGAGTCGCTCTTTCCCTTTTTTCTTTGTCTTGTTTCTTTTGCAACAGTACATTGCAATCAGCAAATAACTCCTAGTGACATAGATTATTTCTGACAGCGGTGTGTATTTTAGGTTGCCCTGTAAGCATGGATCTCTCAGATAGGAGTGGGTTTAGTTTCATCCATTGTGTGTATACAACGAGTATGAGCATTTAACATATATAAATGTGTGCTACAGCATTTGGGAATTGCTGATTACTCTTACTATCAAAAGCAGAAGCTTTGTACTGGTATTTTCTCATGATGATTCTCATTTAGATTTACATAAACGTATAATTACAATATGCAAATGCAAATGCTAGCAATGCAATTGTTCCTTTGGGTAAAAGTACCCAAATGTTATTGATGGAGGAATAAACAACTTGTCTGATTTGACTGAGCATCCTAAAGAGTACGGAGACCTGCCCTCAAATGACAACTTAATGACCTTTAATTTAGTCATTGAACAGCTGCTTTTGTCCAAGGAAACTTTACAAATGGCAACCATTGTTCCCACAAACATTACAATGGAACTTATAGATAACTGAACGCTGTGCATGTCTGAAACAAGTGGATGGAGGCTTTAACAGTTTAATTAAACCGTTAATGCTATCTCTTTCAAAGAACATTAGAAGCACGTCATGGACTATTCAAGATTGTTTTGCATTTTAATGCGAACACAACGATTAGGTACATGTGCTGTGGCGGCTGCATGGGTGTGCACAGATCTGTTTGTTTTTTATCCAGAAACACATTCTCAAATCAGAAACTGACATGTCACAAGTAAAAAGATGCTGAAATTATTTATTTTTAGTGGTCTGGATGAGAGCTATCTCTCTGCCCTTAATGTAAGCCTTCCTGCAGTTACACATAATAAACTAGTAATAACTAATATTAACCAATCATGGATGAGCATGGCCTGCATTGTGCAGCTAAATTTTATTTCTTTATGTTGTTTTAGCACTGAGAATTTTCCCTGAAGATGTCGAAATTGTTATCCTACATGGAAAGCATGCTATTTCGCTTTAAAGTATGCAGGTAATGTTTCTATCTCACAGTTCTTTTTTTTTTTTTAGAGTATTAAAATAGCCACATGCATACATCTGAATTTAACTGCCTGCTCAGATGCTGCTTTAGTGGCTTTCTTCCAGTACTTTTCAGGATTTTGTAACAGTGCAATAAAGAAGGCGGAGACTTCAATAAAAGTGAGACATAATAAAATAAGTTGTTTTTATGCCTGTTACGTTAGCTCAGATTTTGAAATGATAGATAATTAACCAGAACCAATTGAGCTGTATGGCAGTATAAATAAGTAACACATTTTAAAAGCTTCGCTCAAAACGGGATCAATTTAAAAGGTTCTTTCTAATAGTTTACCTGTCACATCTACAGTGAGGACATTTTACTTTGTTTACTGGTAGTTCCTACTCAGAATTGTCCAAAAGAGCTCAAAAGTGGGGACTTGAAACTTGTGTTTGGAGAGGATCACCAGCTGGTCTACGCTTGTTGAAATCATACAGATCTGATGATGCCTTATTTATGTGCATGTGATGAAAAAAGGATTTTGTCAGAAGGATCAGGCGTCCTTTTCTTTTGGGAAATCTTTTCAGAATTGTAAATGACCAAAGTAGCTCTTTTGGAACAGCAGCATTTGCTTTTCATTCTGTGTGAGAGCCCCAGCTGTCAGAGCTCCCCGGCAAGGCATTATTTGTAAGAGCTTTAGCAGAGCTCTAAACGGGAAGTCATAAAACAACAACTTACTCAGTGTGACAGTCTGTGGTGAGAAAAGCACTTCTTTGCCCTGATTTTTTTCTTGATATAACTCAAGAGAGAAGTTCTGTTTTAAGACAGAGGAACAGACATAAAGCTCTAAAGACACTGTTAAGTAGATCACGTCGGTTTAACTAAAGAAAGAATTGTTTCAATCTAAATTGGTTGATTTTTGTTTTGTACAAACATGCAGCAACAAAGCCAGACGTGCTATAATGAAACATTTGAAATTGGAAGCAAGAAATCCCAGAAAGCTCAATGATTGGCTGTGTGGGAGGGGAATTTGTCTTGAAAAGATCTCAAGAGCCGAGGAGAAGCAAACAGAAGAGGAGGGAAAATCCGAGGGAACGTTGAGAGGAGGAGGAGCGGTGGGAGGAGATTTCATTTCAAATTGCAGAAACTCTTGACCGTTGCCTCTCAGGACCCAACAGCCAGCAAAGGTCTCCCTCAATCTTCAACGGGACAGGAAAGGGGGGGAGAAAAGAAACAAAGAGAAGTGCCGGACCAATGAAGTCACTCCTTCTCCAAACAAGATGTGCCTCAGCCGAGTCCCAGTGAGGGTTCTCTTTATGGTCTTAGGGTTCAGCCTGAGTTCTCGTGTGTGTGGTATGATCTGTAGGAAAGCTGCGATACCACACACACACACACATACGTGTTTTCATTATATACAAGGACACATGACAGAAATAGGACAAATGTTTTCAGGTGGCTTTCCAAAGGTTCTTAGGAAAATAGAGATATTTGGTTTAGAGGTATTTTGGGGCTTCTAGAACACTCTAGTATGCTCAGAAAAATGAGGACATGAAAAGTGTCCTCATAATTCTACGCGTCCTGATATTGAAGGTGTGTATTCACAAAATTGTCCTGATATATCAGGAAAACAAACACACGTACACACACACAGGCACACACAGCATACTCAAGTGGTAGAGCTTTACACTCACCTTTGCTCTTATGGGACGTCACATTTTTCTCAGCCCACTAACTCCACAAACCTAAGACTCCAAAAAACAGTGAATTAATTCTTAATTTTTTACTCTCTTTTGTCTCATTCCAATGGGTGCTTGTGATAATAACATTTGGCCAGAAGATGGCATCAGTAGACTGGTGTGCGGTCCAGTTTATTCAGCTGGAAGAGACCAGGCTCTACATTATTAACCCTTTATTTGAACATGACGTTTTTTTTTTCTTTTGTTTTAGGCAAGATCAAATAACTGGAAGTGTTTTGTACCCTCCAGTGTTTCTGTATGTACTTAAATGAAGCAGCAGGAGTCTGATATTTGTTGACTTCAAAAGCCTGAAGGCGCAGCTCTGGCAATAACTTGATGCTTGATTGTGCAGTGGTTAAAATTCATTCCTACGAATGACTGACAACGCAAAATTGAGCAATTAAAAAAGAGGAAAGGGTGGTGAATGTTTCAAAAAATGCCCCCAATATGTCATCATTGTTTTTATTTTCTGGATCTATAGATAATTATGACTTTATTCGGTGCATGTAAAGATATATAACACATTATTTTCATATCAATATCCATGTGAAAAGTCCAAAGACTACATGATTTACACAGTTGGAGTTATTACTTCAAAATCTGCAGTTTGCACATAACATCTGCTCGCCTTTAAATCAAATATTTTGGAGAATCCGAGGATCTGTTATAACCATAGATTCAGTAATGAAACAAACCCATTTCTATTTTATTCAGCTTCACAAATATGATGCATTTATACCAATCCTGGCTTCAAGCTGGATGGTGCATTATCAAAACTGCCAGGGTATGATAGAATAATCATTTCCATTTGCTGTGGCGGCTCCATGAGTCTGTCTACACCCTCTATCAAGAAGATGTCCTGCAGCTTTTTTCAGCCGTCTGTAGAAAAGGTCTGAGTCCTATTGACCCTCCTTTTCTGCACAGAGAGAGGGAAGCAAAATGGGAAATGCTGGCTGCTGATTATTGATACTCTGACAAGTGAAGATTGAAGAGAAGCAAGGCGAGGGGGTTAAAGCCTGTTGGGTGCACAGAAAAAGCCCTCAGCACCCTACGAGGATATGACAGGTATGGGCAGGGAGGTCTCGCTGTTCACGCAACCCTTGTTCTCTTCCCTTTGCTTCGCTCACCACAACCCTGAGGGTTACACATGAATAATGAATTCCCGATCCTTATGGCAACTGCTCAGGAACCCCTATATGCTGCTCACACGCCATGCCAAATATTGTCACAGCGTAGCTGCAGTGCTCCGCTTGTCTTTACTCTGAGAAAACTGCTCATGGGTGTGTGTGTTTCTTTACGCTTTTCAGCGGGACTTACACGTTTTCTCCCGATATTTCATAAGTTTCCCGCAGCAGGGCGTATTTTAATGGTACGCTGCCCTGATGATTTTCAGAATGATTAAGCTAAAGATTTGAGCTGAAAAAGATTGGCTGCAGCTTGTGGAAAAGAAGGAACCGATTGCTCACCACGCACTCACCATGTGCACATTTGTCTCCCAGCCTTCCGAGGAAGATAAACAAGTTGAAAGTGATTGTTCCATAAAGGCTTTACTTGTGTTTGGTCTGGAAATACAATGCCCTCCTCCTCTGGAAGGTCTTAAAGGAATTCAGCACATGTGAATTTAAATCCAGCCAAACGTCCAAATACAGCCTTGCCAACTGTGAAGAATCTGTCCTATTTCTCTTTCTATTTTTGTTTACAGGAACTATATTATTTCACTTATGCTGCTTTGGCGGTTATTTTATTTTCCATAATTGGAGGCACGTCTGGTGTGCTAATATAATTTATGTGCGGGACAAGCAATTACCTAATTTCGAACCATAGAAGCTGAACAATAGAATATACACCTGGGATCTTTGGTGTTTTCAGACATCAATGTCTTGCACTCAAAGCCTTTTCCATGAAAACTCAATAAGAGTTTAACTATTGCATTAACATGCCACACTAGACGGTTAGGAATTGATCGTTACGTGGCAGGATTCACATCGCCTTTAATATGGCCTCAGCTTTAAGAGCAGCAGCAATGTTTTGTGTGTAAAATGCATCGTTAAAACTCCTGTTACCAGTATTACACATGATAGAATTATGTTTTATTAGCCATCAAATGGGGTTAATGTTAATCTACTTCTTAAAAAAAGAAATAAAAAGAAGCCAACCAGAGATAATCTTCATCAGCTGCGCATTTAATGTATAACAACAGTAAAAAGTGAATCTTTTGCTTGCAAAATAGGAGTGTTTTTATGTACAGTATATATACAGTAATATATAGTTTAAAAAACATTACAGTTTAAACATCTGACAGTTATTGCACAACACATTTATAAATTATCGTTGTCAAACCACACATGAAACAGATGAGCTCTGTCATATTTCAACATTTAACAGGAAATGTATTCATTATTCTATTTTGTTCTTTTAGCTTAAAATGAATCAAGGTCCCGCGGCGTGTATAATAACTCCGCAAATACTGAAATGGTAAAATCAGCAGCGCTACCAAAGATCTTCAGTCACGGTGAGAGTAAATGGAGCGATGAAACATCCTAAAGCCCATAAAGGCATTTATCTGGGGTGAAACTGAACCCTGAACCAGTGATGCTCAGACTTATTTTCTTTTGTTCTATGATAATTATTCGACATTTCAGACATGGCACTATAACTACAGCAGCAAGGAGACAACACGCAGCCTGGTCAAATGTACATAGGGAGGCATGAAAATAAAAAAAAAATCAACTTTTGAATTATTTGATGAAACACGAGAACAGTCAGAATTTAAAGCAATGATAGCGCTGTGAAGCTACAAACAGACTTTACGAGGACCAACAGCTGATCCAGACACATAAATTAGTAATCAAACACGCACTCTGTTTACAAAATATAAGAAACACCTGATTTACACTAAGCTGCAGCTCCTCTCACATCTCTAGGTCTCCGGGGAAATAGAAATCCTTCATTTTTTTTCACCCACATTTCATTTCCAGGTCTTGCTCGTAGTACATATATTGGGGAAATCAATAAGGAATCAAGGCCTTCATCTAACTTAATCTGACAAGATTACTTCTTAGGAGCTGCAGGTGTTCTTAATATCTCGTACACTGGGTGCATTTCAAGTATTAAGCTTAATGTAAACAATAACCAATAAGACAGCCAGGGTGGGAAGGGGGGGGGGGTGCTGAGGGCCAGGGATAGATTAATCTGATCCACGATCACGCTTATAACATCATTAATCATGCTTTTTGCTACAGTTCAATTTAGTCTCCACTTATCTTTGAATGCCTGAATTAGTGGTCTGTAGATCATCACTGTAAAAAAATTTCTATCTTAGATGAGATCTCCTCCGTACAATGGCGTGTTTTATTAATAGCCTCTACAGGAGAATTTAACGTACCTGAACCACCAGATTTATTATATTTGGCACTCAAAGTCGGGGAGTCGGCCCAAAATTTCTCTCCACGTATCTGAACTGGACGGTTGAGATGCATTTGGGTTGTTTTATTAAACAGTTGCACCTCCACCCTGCCAGTGACAGATATTTACTGCTTTAAAAAAAAAAAAACAAGCGGTTCAGACAATCGTTGCTGAACAGAGCACAAAACACTTCTCGGCCCTGAATGGTCACAAAGGGGCGTGTCGCTCAAAGCCGGCGATATGCAGAGCAAAAAGAAGTGTCCTTCGAAGTATCAAAAGCACTTGGGGCCTTGTCTTGCCAGATGTGCTGTCCCATTAAATTGGGCCCTGTCTTTGTTGAGCTCCTCCAGTGACTCCTCACGTTGAGTCATTCTTTCTTAAGTGCGGGTTCTCTCCGGAGCTCCAGCTATGCCACACACACTCTTAGCATAAACACCAACTACAAAGACAAACCGTTACCCAGCGGATAGGAGTTGGCGGTAAATTCAGCAGCCCTGATGGACCTAAATCCTCCGTCTCTCTCTCTCTCTCTTTCCGTTGGAGTGTTTAAGAATTGGATGTTTGCCTGTTGGAGATTTCTTATTTAAAAAAAATAAAATAAAAAGGTGACATTGGACTCTAAAGTCTTGCTTTGGGATGCTTTGCTGTTTCATGTGGACTGAGGTTTGTGTACACAGTTTTGTGTGCGTGCACGTGTGTTTTGTCACTTTGTTTACACAGTAGGTCCATTAAGTCTGCAGTCTTTCCGAGTGTACTGTATCAGTGTGTGATAATGTGGAGTTGTGTCTGTCCACATTGGCACCTGTGTGTTATGACGTCCAGATCTCAGTGCCGTGTGCGCATGTTTCTAAAATGTGTCGTGTTTTTTAGCGTAATGTCTTTACGTGTGTATTGTAGGTTTTTCCTCGCGTGTATGTTTCAGCTCTCCATAGACATGTTCAAGATGATCTGCTCCAATTTATACGCCAGCTTCTGTTTCTGGGCTTGTTCGTCTTGCTCCAGAGCGTCAATAATCTGGAAAACACAAACACATTTGCAGGTTTGTCATCGATCAAACATGCGGTGCTTTCTTTTCTTACACAAACGATCAGCCACGTCCATTTCTAATCAACTCTGATCGTTTTTTGTGCACTTCACTGTGTATGGAATGTTAACGTCCATACATTGTAAATGTTAATATATAAACGTTTTCCAAAAATCCCCCATGATGGTTGAGTCTTGGAAAAAGGCATAGGCAATTTAATCAAACAACTTTGCGGCATTGGAGATTTTGACTGATAATTTTGAGTATATTCAACCGTAAGCCTTTTAGATAGCGGCGGCTTAGGGAGAAAAGTGGGGAGCCAGTAATTCTACATGTTTAAGTGTCCTCAGGCCAGATTCTCGGCACCACAAATGCCGACCATTGTGTTCATTGGCATGCGAGTGTGTGTATGTGACAGAGAAATGCTCTCAATTGCACAAAAGAAAAAAGGCCCTGTAACATCGTTACTGTGAATGCGGTTTGCGCAGTAAAGCACTCTGAGTGGTCAACAAGACAAGAAAATCTCTCTACAAATGCAGTCTATTTACTTTAACGAGGAGCAGATGGAGCGTGTGTGTATACCTGTCCGATTTATGGGCTTTGTGGGATGTTTGTTTTTTTGACACATGGTCAATGGCCTTTTTTCAGTCTTAAAAAGAAGAGTGTATTATGATCATTTCTAATCATTTTAAAGCTGACAGTTGAAGCTTTTAGTTGTCATTTAAGCTGCTACCTGCCGTTGACAGCAACAATTCGGTTAAAGATGATGATTTCAGATTCTGCCTGTGTTTGAAAGCCTTGGTTTTAACGGGCTACAATTGTTTAGACTGAACAACAGGATGTTTAAACTTCATAAGGACTCGCAGCTTATTATAAATTTGTCATGGGGAACTTGCCCCCTATGCACAGAGCAACAATAGTATGCCTGAGGAGTTGTGTATGACTAATTGAAGTCCTGCAATCAGCCTCCATCAACTCCTGAGGGATATATATGGCTTTTGAGCTTCTAAATGATTAAACTTCATCTGCTGCAGCTTTTCGCTAAATCTGGTGCCTCCTGTGGCCGGGAAAGCATTTACGCGAGCATTATCAGTTAACCAACAGTGTAAAGTGTGGTTTGTTAGTCCAAATGAATGTGAAAAGAGGTTTTAAAAAAAAAAAAAAGGCTGTGGTGAACAAGGGGTTTGGTGATAACTGTCTGTGGTCTCACAAGAGCAAGCAAAACAGTTAAATCCACTGCTGATACACAAGTATGAGTGCAGGGTTTAAGACCAGCAAATGGAAACTTCAGCATGCAAACTACCCAGGGCACATTTCGGTGTTGCGGTGTGTTGACCGAGCCTCACCTCTTGGCTGTACTTGCTGATGTAAGCGTAGATTTCGTGAAGGGCACTGAGCACATTGAACTCACTGGAGTGAAGGCGAGCCTGTTCAGCCAGATAGGCATTCATATCCTGATCACTGATGGCAGGTAGGCGGTTGATGTCAGCATAGTACCTGGATGGACACACACACACACACACACACACACATGCATGTGTTGCCGGTGTCACTGGCATAGTCATACAGAGCTTTTCTCCTCAGTCAGACTTTGTCTATTGTCATGTAAAGTCAAAGAGCAGTCACCGATAATGGCTTTGAAATGTAGTTAAAGAATGACTGCGATTTCTGAGAGCAGAGCTTTATTGAAATGCTCAAAACTGACTGCAAGACACTTTGTTAAACCTAATCAAACAAAAGAAACCATGTACTAAGAGCACTTTTTAAAAAAATCCTATCATCTTTGATTTTCAAATTGTAAGAATGCAAAAATGAGCACCAGTTTGTTCAAATGGCTGTGGAGTCCATGCTTCAGTACTTCATAGTTACACTGTGGACAAGCTCATTAAAAAAACGAAGCAGATATGAACTAGTTTCTTTAAGGACCGTGAACCTCAGATTTCAAATCAGGCTTATTGGTGCGTAAAGAGAATTTTGGCCTAGTTTTTTTAAAGTGGGAAGTTGGTATTGAGGTGAGCATACTGAATTTGATAATTGCGATTATAACCAAGTACTAAGGATGAAAAAAAGTGCACAAACCAACAGCTTCTGTGATTTAGTGGCATAACTAAACTGCTGTCAGGGTGTCTAAATCCCAGTAATCTCATTTAGTCTAATTTTATGTACTAAATCAACCACTCGGAAATAAGGTGAACACACAAACAGTTCTGTGTTCAACCATAAATCAGCAGCGGAATTCCAACCCCAACATAGTTTTAATTTTCACCTTCAACAATGATTACTTCTTACACTTTAAAACACACTCAGGCAGTCACACTCACCTCTCGACCCAGCTTTTGTAATGCGGTATGTCCTTGGCATATAGCAGTTTGGTGGAGGGGGAGTCTTTGCCCAAACGATGTTCAGATGTTGAACAAGAGTCCATAAAAGTTTGTGCCACCACAGAAAGACAGGCATCTGTGATGCTGCTTTTGTGAATGTCAAATACAAACTGAGGATTCTTGATTACATTTACCCAGAAGCGTAGAGGAAGGCTGAAAATATGAAGAAATGGAAAAAGGAAATTGAAAGAAAGATTTTAGACAAGACAGAAATGACTTATTTCACAAGGAAAAATGTTTCCTTTTTTACTTTGCTTCTCATTCGTCTCTTACTCCAAAGATGAATGTTGACATTGTGCTTGAAGATAATATCTAGATTTCAGCTTTCAGCCAAAGGCAAATGTTGAAATGTGGTTACTTATCGTCATGCCTTAAAACCAACAGGATATGTGTCTTAAGATGATGCTATGAGGAGGCTTTCATGAACGCCATTTGGTTTCAAAGATGTTGGTTTTTGTTCGTCTTAAACTTAAAATGAAAGTTATTGTTTTTCATTATTGTTATTACTGTTTCTCACCAGTTGCTCTTCCATGTGTGGCGCACGTCCATGTCATTGATGCCGTGTCTGTCGGCTTGCTCGTCCAGGAAGTCAAACATGTACTTGATGGCGAGAGGCAGGGCAGTGCCACGGCACACAGTGCTGAACAAAGTCTCAAACAGGTCATCCACAAACTTCTGAAGGGTCCCCTGCGCAATGAAGAGCGACAAAAAGGGGTTTCAGCGCTTTCTCAGTCTGACTTCTTTCACATCTCTTAAAGCTTATAGAGGAGTGGAAAGCAAAGATTTGCACAAGGAGACATTTGACTGGAAGTAGAGTGGCACCTTGGTAGCTAGCAGCCTCGTCAGGTAGATCTCGGACACCATCTTGCTTCCGCGCTCGCCTTCTTTTTGGTCCCCGTGGTCGTGGTTCTTGACCAGGTGCCAGATTTTGACGCCACTTTCCAGGTCAGGGGTCAGCATGGGCACGCGGGAGTGCGGGCTGTCGGGGCTCGTCGGGGTGGAGCGGAAAGGCACGTCCATACCTAGGTTTTTATAAAACAGACTTGAATGAAATGAGAGGAAGCAAAAACATATCCACAGATTCTAAAATAAGACTGAGTCTCTGCTTTGTTAACAGTCACTTGGCTGTTGGGCTGTGTCAATTTAGACTGTGTTATCAGCTCCTGTCAATATTTGATTAGTTAATTGAAAATATATAATAATAAAAGAGGCTTTCTAACTGAGCTTCGAATGAGATTGTATTTTTGTTACTTTAGAGAAGAAGGATAAGTCCTGAGAAGTGAGAGGCTCTTTGTTAAACAGCACTGACCATATTTGCTGATACTGCGTGGAAAGCTGGCTGAGGAGGGAATGATGAAAGAGGACATCTGTTTGGGTACCAAGGCCACCACACAGCGTTCAGACACCTGAGAGACGAAGAAACAGCTTCATCAATTTCTGATTTGGTCAAAAGTGACGAACAAAAGAAATTCAAATATGCTTTGAGAGGAAAAACTAAATTTTGAATGCCCACCAAGGGCTTGAGGAAAAATAACCTTTAGTGGAACTAACTTAACAAACTACCACATTAAACTGTAAACTGTTATCCAAACTGAGAAAAAAAGTACTGTATTATCACAGTGAACAATTTTGGTGCTGCACTGCTTTAATCAAGCTGAGAAGAACTGAAGGAACATCTTTTTTGTCTAAACTTGAAATAAAAGCCTTCAATTACAATTTAGGCTGATTCAACACTGTCATGCGTGATTTGATTTCTTCCACTGGAGTATGCTGTAGCTACACATGGCAGACAAGATCTGGTCACCTAAAGAATGAGCAAAATTGACCAAAACACTCTGCCTAAGCCTCAAATATAACCAATACCAAATCCATCTTAACAGAACACTTGCTTACGGATTAAAATCTAAAGAACAACACTGTTTATCTCCTTCACATATAAGAAAAGACTGTATCCCTTCTCTGTCAAAACATGCTTCTGCTGCAAAAAATGTAGATTCTCTTTGTCTATATTTCAGGGGAAAAGATTTGTTGAAATACAGTCGCTGTGAAAAAGCCCAGAGCCGATAGTGAAGACAAACATTTGGCAAACAAAGGAACAGGATGACTCATCTGAAGTCAGTGACCTGTGTCGTGGCTTTTAAGAGTTGGAAGGGGAAAGCTGCTGTAGGAGAGACAAGAGCACGAGTCTGTGTTCGGCTGATTAGCCGTGCTTTGTGAGCACGAGGTTCAAAACCTGTGGACAGGTTTGAGGCGAGCGATGAGAGCACAGACGCGTAAAGCTTCATCCCACATCAGTAATTATCGCGTCTGAGCAACTGAACTTGTCGCAGGTTCTAATAAAGGACAAAATGCTTTAAGATTGGCCGAGGCAATCGTTTCAGCAGCTCGGAGTTCTCTTTTTGAACTAAAGTATCAAACATTTCTAACAGCCATGACTATTATGACTTTAGTGATCATGGAAACGGCACCCTTCTCTTACCTGGTAGTGCATGAGCGTGTTGAGTCTCTTCCAGTCGCCTTCTATCTTTGTTGTGATGTCCTCATCCTGCAGGACCACTCGAGCTGTTCGGCCCTGCCGCCACTCTGGAAAAACACAGCCAATGTGAATGCACTTTGTGTAATGTTTACACCTCGTGTGCCTGACCTATATTTTCTCACGTTTGGTGTGGATTTTTTTATTTTTTTGTTTCCTTTGCTGAGGCTATCTTTGAGTATTTTGTTTATTCTTTAAGATGACGCAAGTTGCCAAGTGAACCGAGAAGTCACAGAGACTGCTTCTGGGCGTGTGAGTAAAATACAAACGACACAGGGTCCCTTGCTTAAGCCGCCCGGTGTGATGAAACACATCCTCTCTCCGAAAAACCTAACCCGTTAAAGCCCCCGAAGGTGTAAAACTACAAGCCCAAAAACATTATCAGCCACCAGAAACACGGTGTTTTATTTACTCCCTTTGAAGGCGCCTGGTGTCACCTGGATTTGTGCCGCGTCATTCAGCGCCGGCTGACATGTGGTGGGTGTAAAGCCCCTCGTGTGTGGGTGTGCTGTCTGAAGGGTTTTGTGTCAGTGTCGGAGGGCTGCTCTGATTGGTCAGAGCTGTGAACAGGTACTGGGAGGCGGCAGGAATTTGCTGTGGCTCTCTTTGCTGATGTCAGACATCTTAGGCTGTGACAACTCCCCTGTTTTTCCTATCTGGATTGTTCTGTTATATTATGTGCTGTGGCTGACTTTTTTTTTTTTTTTTTTTTTAAGCCTCAGAATAGATGAGGCAGTGACAATTGTTAAATTAACCGCCGCCACTCACCTAAGTCCATGTCTGTCGCCCGGGGTCGCTGAGAGCAAGGCATGTTCTTGTACACCGCATCCAGGATCTTCTCCTTTACTTGGGTAATGGTGTCACAGTTGAGCACTTTGACGGGGATTTCCGGGCTGTTCTCATTGTCAGGGTTCACACAGCTCAGCGTCTGGAGATCCAGGACAGATGGGACACCGTGGCGGGGGAAAACAGAGATAGTCTGAGAAAGGTGCTGCTTTCGGAAGGGTGGGGGGGGGCAGCTTTCATTACCTGCTCCCCACCCAACTGTCCTGGCGGAAAGCATCTCGGTTTGAAATGTAATTTCACACCTCCGGGATGTGGGTTGCGCAGTTCTAGTGGGAGCATTAAACAGGAAATGAGACACAGCCTCTCACACTCTCCGACATGGCGATCAGAGAGGTGTCACCCTATCGCTGGCTGGCTCAGCTCTGCAGCTGGAGCTGGAGGGGGAACTTATTCTGATGGGCTGCCAGAGAAACTCATCCAGCTTAACATTTATGGAGACGTAAAAGACAGAGGCATGTTTTGTTACGCCACTGGTTCTACTGACTAGCTTACCTCAAATGGAATTTTGGAGACTTTGTATCCTTCATTTTGCTCCGATGGATCATATAAGTCAGATTCTGGGGTCTAAATTACTAATATCTTAACTAATATGAGAATCCTGGGATATTTTGGATGTGTTGATGTGTTTGACGGCGCTCTCCGCCACCACCATCATCAACACACCAAATTAAACAACATATCTTGGAAGAAAGGGGTTCTTTCCCAGAAACTTGAAGAATGAATTGCCAAAGTAAAGAAGCAGTTTCAACAACAGATGGACACTCCATGCTGCACTAAGACGTTTTAATTAGGTTTTGTGCTCAATTTGTCAGTTGTCTTTAGTTGCGTGTTGGAACTGTACTTGGAACTGTGAGTATGGTGTCTGATAAGCGTGTGAACTTTCTGCCATATTGTTTTACCATAGGTCAGGCGGTAGAAGAGACATGGTATTCAACCACCTTTAAAACCCCCAAATCAATCACATAAAAAGAAAATGAAGAAAATGTTCATCAGGTTCAGCTTAAATCAGTCCCGTGAAGGCAGAACATTATGATGCTGTGACTAAATGTGACTAAAGGAATAAAAAGGATTGTATGTAAGATTTAACTAATCAAAGGTATCCACATATTCAAAGCATTATAAAATCCATAACCACAACCCGGGGCTTTGTCATAGTTAAGTGAATCTGTGAAGGCTCCCTTAAATTAATACAAAATATTCTCTCATTCCTCCTTATGAATGCCTTTGTGACTCACCAGTGTCTTGTATTCAATCTGCTGGCGAATGAGTTTATCTTCACTGAGAGAATAGCGTGCTTCTCCTGTGATTGAGTCTATAGGCCCCTTCTCCATTTGCTGTTTGATGGCACAGAACAGCATGAAGAGAGGCTCGCCAGCACACTCCTTTGTTAGGAAGGAAAACCAGGGATTGGATCAAAAAGGTGAGAAAAAAAAAAAAATAAGATACAGGAAAGAAGAGAAGATCGGTAAAGAGGTCTGTATTCGTCACAGCATACAAGGACACTGTGTGACGGGAGCTTCAAACAAAACGGTTCTTTAATATTCCAAAACTGGAGCTATATTTGACCTCACAAGTTAACACCATCCCTCCACAGCGTGCATAACGCAGGTCAATGCTAGGCATTTAAAATCGCATCAACAACACGGGCATACACAGCAGTCTATTTGAAAAAATCAATGCAAATCATTTTAAGGAGCAGAGCCGCTCTACATCACTGACACCTGTGGCAGTGGGCCGGGCCGAAAGGCTTCATTTACCTTGAGAAATTTGTGGAGCAAGAAGGCAAACCAATTTGTCAGCATCTTTTCCGCCACTGACTCGGTTCTGCAAGACAAGGAAAAGGGCACACTCCTTCGTTATCGAGAGACATCCAGCAGAGTCCGAGTGCAATGGCTACTCTTTATCATTTTAGACCCACGAGAGCCCGACAGGGTTGGAGCCAAAACACGTGACACGGATTACAAGATGTAATGACTCACTCGGGATATACAGTTGAACGTACAGAAAGGTGTCTGCTGCTGGTGCACAGCGCATCTGGGTCAGTATGATTGTGCAGACTAAACTTGGCCACTTCAGGTCTTTCACATTACACAGGTCAAAAAGGGGATATTATGTTTTATTATGTGCACAACGTCTTTGATGTGCCACATAAAATAAAGTATAAACCGCTCCATATCTAAATCTGATCCAAACTCTACAGTTTTTGTTGACACGCTCTTTTTCTCCATAATCTTTACAATCCTTCTGATCCTTCCCTGCTTTTGAATCCTAAACTGTTGAAAGGAACCTATTAAAGTAGTGAATGTTTCTGTAAGAGTATAATGCTTACGTCAACTAGTTCTTTTTGTACCGGCAACCGTGTGGACTTGTGTGTATGTCTAATTAGTGTACTTTATATTGAATAAATAGAGGCATGAAACATTCAGGAGGCTGGTCCGAGCACTGGGAGAACAACTGGCAGATAACCAGAGGTGGATGGAGGAGGGGAGAGAGGCAAGAGAAAGGTGACGGGGGGAAAGAAAACGTGAGCTAGAGCTGAATGTTTCATGAGGGGCACACAGAAGATAAGTCAGACTGACAACAACTCTGCTGCCGCGGCACTCACTCTTCCCCATTAGGTTCTCTTTCCCTGCCGGTTCCTCCTGCTCTCTATCACTTTTAACACTCCTGTCTTTCACCTGTCTGCTCAGTCACCCCGTTCCTCAGACTCCAAACCAATGTTTCACACGGCTGCACAAAACAAAGCTGAACAGACATGGGCTTTTCCTTCGCTGGCCTAGTTACTCAGCCATCAGAAGTGTGGTAACTGGGCTGGAAAGAACAAAGCACTGAGGAATTATCTATGCGAAAGAGATAAGCATTGCTGATCACAACTTTGTGGCAAAAATAGTTTTTCTGGTTTAAAATGCCTTTACCCCGGTGGAAAATGGGTGCAGCTTTGCAAGGAAACGATGCACTGAATTAAATGCATGACCTTTTCTTATTGCAAGGTTTTTTTTTCTGGTGTGCTCTGTTTCCTTCCTTATTTTTGCATGAGAAAAGCTGAGATACGACCATCACACACTTTCTTCACGATAGGGCTGGCATCCTTTTTGAATCCCACCCTATACCAATACAAAACACCATCATATGAAATGTTTTGTTTTTTTAAAAGCACATATACTTACATATTGTGAAGAGGAATAACTTAACTAAATGTTTGGCATTAAAACAACAGTTTGAAAATGCACATGGCAGGTTTATGTTAATCTGCCTTTAGAGACAGTGATGTATATACCTGCGGAGGAGTAGTTTGGGGTGGTTTTTACTCTCCAGGTTGCGTTCTATGAGATCCGAGAGCAGGTGCTTGAGGATGTCCGTGGCGTACTCCAGGCGCCCTTGCAGAGCAGTCATGATGAGTGAAGCGACATAGCCGCGATCACGCATGGAGAAGGAGCGTTGCAGCTCCAGCGTACGGATGAATGTCAGCAGGAAAACCTTGTTATTCACCAGCTGAGCAAACTGCTTCAAGGCTTTCTCCACATTCGCCTGTCCACTCCCTGGTACCTGCATGCATCATGCATTTTTGCACACACACACATACACAAACACACAAAGTTTATTAGATAGTACTTGCTCAAGGATAAGTCAGAACAGATTAAAGCATAATGAAATGTCCACTGAAATTCTTACACACCACCTCAAAGAGTAGAGTTAAAAACAGCAGAACTGATGTGGCTACGGGCTTTGTGCTGGAGGGAACTAAGCCTGCACTGGTCCTGACTCACGCTGGAAATATATGAGTATGTTTTTAGGATTTATAAATTGTGATTAATTTTTATATACTAATGAAGGGTCTTTACTTTGATGGTAAAAAAAAAAAACGATGCAATCAGGGGTTTTCAGGGGTCCTGAAACTATATGTAATTGTCAGCATAATAACGGCTGATTAGACTGCCTATAATTTGCAACACCAACGATTTTTTGCCCTTGAGAAAGTCTTGCAAGAAACAATGAAGTGCCAGGTCTTTTTCTAATAGAGTTTAAAAATGAAATATCTGAAATTTGGGCAACAATAGCAGACAAAATCCAATAGCAGTAAAAACATTTTTAAAAAAAAGCATTTTCATAAGGTAAACCTTCAATACATATCCTTGCACTTTCCAAACCTGCTGCTATGACCCTCAAACAGACTACCCTCAACCTACTGACAATAGAATAGAATCTTTTCACACCGCTCTGCCCGACAAAGCTCCAGCCTTCGCCAAACAGCCGCTATAATTGTAGTTTGGATTGTACTGTGTATTGTTGTTCGGTATATTGAGGTCTAGATATTGAAACTGCAAGTCTGCTTCAAAGGCCTCTCACCTCCAGTTCTCTGAGCACAGGATGGTCATCGATGCCAGGGAAGAGGACCCTCATGGAATACGTTCGGTAGTCCAAGAAGGGGATGCCTGCTCTGTCCAGATCACTGGTCAGCTCGTTTATGTCTGTTTGTAATTCTGCAAAAGCTGCACAAGATAAAAAAAGCAGTTCAATAGTTTGTCACTTGCTATGGCCCAGCTTAATCATTGCTTTGTAGCTCGTAGCTGACATTTAAAAATAAGTAGCAATAGTGAGTCAATAATATTGTAAAAGTCATGTTGCAACGGTAGGTATTGAATGAATCACAGGGAATGATTTACTAGGCTTACAGCATACAGTTGCTTTGTTCGCTCTTTTGTCTTTGTTTTATCTATGCTTGTGTTGATTTAATCCAAATCCACCATGTTTAGCTCAAATGTTGCAGTCCACATATAAACCTGGCCTGTCAGAGACTGCAGAGGAATGTAATTCTAAAACGGTGAGAAGGCTGCAAGAACTAGCAGCTGAATATTCATGTTTCTGGAATGTTATCTCTTTGCATGTATCCTTGGAAGCAAATGTATTCTGAAGTGATAAGCTCCTGCCCTCATGTCAACTGGTAATACACTTTAATAAGAATCACAACAATAAATACAAGCTACGGTTTTCCACTCTGTTTCCATACATGGAAACGTTGTCATTTAAATAAATGAGCTCGTAAACTAACAAATCTGTCTCACAATGGCTCTCAACAGATGGTGCTATAATACAGTCACAAATGGAATATTATCTTGGGAACATGAGATTTAATGAGCAGAGTTTTTCGGATTTCACTCACCCTCTTTACACTCAAGAGCCACTCTGGACTCCAGATTGTCCATTTGCATCTGGAGGCGCTTCAGAGTGAGGTCGTTCTCGTGTGACTTCCGCCTGTAGGCCAGTAGGACAATAATGACGATGATGAGGAGCAGCCCTCCTCCAGCTGTGATACTGAAGATCGCGGGGAGGGTGAGCAGGCTGTCCGACCGGATGTGAACTTCTCCCGGAGAAATATGAAGTCCTCCGACATGGACCTGAAAGAAGACGTTGAAAGGAAACCGAAAATATTTCAAACTTAAAACCAAAAACCAATCAAATTGCTTGGCATTAACAGGAGATCTGGCCTCTGGGCAGCTTGCTTTCCCGTTTTTTCTGCAGTTTTTGTCATTATTAGCCCGTCAATAATTCTAGAGGACAATGTGCTGTAATGGAACCCACCGGACCATGAGTGACAGGCATTGACAGAAAGTCAGAAACCAACTGAACGGTTGTCGGTGACCCACAAACACCGTGACGTAGACACAAACGCTGACCTACAGAGAGCGACCCACATTCACGCCCAGCCATAGTCACACTCACAGAAGGGACATGGAAGCGTAAAAAGAGTATATGACTGAGACTGACCAGGACTTTGTGCTGCCCCGTGAGGTTCGGTGGTTCACAGAGTAACTGAGTGTCAGACACAGTCAGAGAGCAGGGTGTATCTCCTATTAGCACGGTGTAATTGAGTCTGGCTCCACCAGACGCAGAGGGCACGAGGTGGCGGCCCTGCAGCACAAAGAAACAGAAATAAAAATAAAAAACAGCCCAGCGTTAAAAATCTATCGGGTATTTCACACTGAAAAAAACCTGTGGTGCAGATTCTAAAAGGTGAGAGGTGAATGTAATGTGATGGGAACAGCATTAGTGAAATTCCTGTCATCCAAAATAATGTGAAAAACACATCATCTCGCTTCTATTCTGTAAAGTACAATGTCAGGGAGTCAGAATGCGGGAACACCTCTGAATAATTTCCAAGCTGGCTTCAAGACTCAGCCCAATATTTCATTCTGTTACTTCATGGCAAAGGGAGCTGAAGATGGGAGTTCCTTGCACAGACAAACGGTTTATACAGAGCAAGTCAGGTGGAAAATCACCAGCAAAAGGCAGGAGTGTCATCATTAATGTGGCAGGAAGCGTTTGATCACCTGACATATGTAGTTCTTTCAGAGCAACACTGGACACGGAAAGAGACAGCTGTTCTGTCCATGATGGCCTCATTTGTTTGAAATATTTATCATATGGGAATGGTTTGTGTGGCAGCACAGATGGAATCTGCTTTTTTGATCATTGCAGGCTAACTGGGTGAGTACAACAGTGAATACAGGGTACCAATGATGGGATGGCACCAACGTGTGTGTGTATTTATACATCCATCCAACTTTTTCCACTTATCCGGTCATTCACCAATTATAATCTATTGGTCTGTTAAACTTAAGCCATTCTAAAATCTCTAAAAGGATTTACTTACCACTGGAACCATTTATTAGACAGTTAATGGTGAATTACGAAACTAAAGTCTTATGAGATGTTGAATGCGAATGAAGATATATATCAGAATTGGATGTTGACTTACCTTAAGAATGATAGGAGCTCCTGGCTTTTGTTCCAGGACACCTGACAGGCTGAGGGGCTCCAGGTAAGGGTTGGGGTAGTAGACAAAGCTTGTGTTGTTGTAGGTGAGCAGGGCTTGGACATTGTTGAAGACAAAGCCAAACTCATCCACGTGTTTTACGGTCTCCTGGTCCGCTGTGTACTCCGCCTTAAGTGAGGGTGCGAAGCAGCTGATGGTGGTTGTGTTCAGAACTTTGCACACCTGGAGAGGAATCAGTTCCAAGTGTCCAAAATTACGCAGAAAACTAAACACGATCCATAGAGAGACGTATTGTCGGAACCTGACTGTGCATATGATTATAAAAGATTATAAAAGTGACAGAACATTTTTATAAGGAGCTTAACTTTTTAGGACACAACATTAAGTGTTAAGAAATCCCCATCAGAATAGTGGGAGTCTCATGATACAACCATTACCAAACAAAACCATTCATTTACAGCACGCTTTAGTTTCTATGCAATCCGAACACATCTTATTTCACCTTCTGATGTGACACAAGGAGATTTATAGTACCTTTAAATCCTTTTCATCTTGCACATGTTCAAGAAACTGCTTCTTATTAAGCCCCTATCAGTCAGTTGATCACTGGAATGTCCTTTCTACAGTACGTTTTCTGAATGTTTTTAGTCAGCCTCCGACAAATCTCAGGTTCCAAAGGGAGCTGTCTCAAGTCAATTAAGTGCTTTTGTTATCCTACATACTTTCAGGGAGTCCGAGTAATGTTTTTAAGATATGAGCGATAAAGACGCAGCCCTCATTAAATTCACCAGTGGCCATTTTCTTCGCAGCTCATTTGGCTAAAAGTTCAGCTCTAATCCCTTTTCTGTCTCAGTGATGCCAGTGACACTAGAGAACACGCAGTCTTAATTGACTGGCTCAAATTGTGGGACAGCATCAGTGACACACCATTTACTTTGCTCAGGGCATGCCTCTGAAACAACACGGTCCACACAACATTTTCTCTTCTACGCTGGAAGAAAAAGTCCGCCGTCAACGTTTTCTATTGATTTTTCGATGTTGGAGACCAAATTTCCCCCCTTCATTCAGAATGCAGTCCTCGGGCAAGTCTTGTTGAAAACTTTAGACTCAAGGTGCCTGGACTGATGCCATCAGGGCCCCAACACTTTTATGCAATCAATCACTTTTAAGGCAATCCCGCCTGAGCAGTTCAGGCTGGCAGAATCAACACAATAAATCACCTCAGTGCAAAACTCTCTTCTTCCATGTCGTTTTTTTACAATGTCCTTTTGGATTCCACTCCTATGTATGTACCTGCTTTTGTTACCTTTGACTTCATTTGTCGAGAGCAGATTTAACCTTTTTTTTTTCATTACATTCTCAATAAAGGCAGGATTCACGCAATCGGAAATAGTCTCACTCACGTTGACAGATTCGTGGCCGGCATATTTGACTCGGACCCGGGGTTCTTGAACCACATCCAGGTTAGTGCCAGTAACTGTCAGGGTGGTGTGTCCGCTGTGTGGAGGAGAGGGAAAAATATTCAGTCCACGAAAGTCATCGGCTGAAGACGTCCACACTTCACACCTCACTCCAGGTAGCCGGTTCATGAATGCAAACTGCCTTTCCACCATGATTTAATTAGAGCAGCTGCCACATAGAGACCAATCTTTCTCATCATCGTTTTCCAGGGAATCTGCATTAATTCATGTTTGAGGAGCTATAGCTGGTAGCTCACTCTTTGTTATTGGGCAGAAGAGGCAGATCAAACGGGGAACCAGCTGGCTGCTATTTCATATTCATCCATGACTGCGAGATTGGCATAGCATGAATACAGGTGCTGCTTGTTTACATATCTGTGCTAGAAGCGATTAAAATAAACAACCCGCTCTAATCTCTGCATAACCTGTGATGCCGTGCAAACTCGGAGAAAGTACAGGCCTGAAATGTAGATGAGAGAAAGAGGTAGAATACAGGAAGCGAAATACTTTAAAAACGAAAAAGTAGCCAGTCTAGCCAACCTGACACAGTGCCAATCCTTCTCTTCTCTCACTTCAAAGGCTACCTAAGCTTGTACGCTCTCATAGTGGGAATGCACATTCATGATGAGGGCTCTTGATTGCAGCTCTACAAAGCCCGTCCTGTCACTCGGCCGAGGGCCAGGGCGTCTCTCTGAAGTCTGATCTGCAGGGACGCAGAGTTGGGTAATCCCAGCCGAAGCCAAATTAAGTGCCGTCTTTTATTTAGTGGAGTGCAGGTAGCATTCTCCTCGACTGGGATGGAAATGTTTATGCAGCAGGTGAAAAATACTTGCAGTGCGATGTTTCGACTGCATCAGACTAGTCAATCTCAAACCAATGATTAATCGGGCAAAAACTGTTATAAATAATAGGATGTTTGACTATTCATCATTGTCAATTTGTAGATTTTTCAACAAACTTGTTACAACTGACCACAACATTAATGGCTATCTCGAAGATTTCCTGGAACGGCAAAAGCCTGCGAAGACAGACTCTAAATTTAGACAGAAGGGGTTTTCATATCAACTAGACTATTTCAACAACCTTGAGTTACTCATGCATCCGGTGAAGGAATGTTTTCATATCTGGGATGCTGTCTCTCGGCTGTATCTTGAAAATGGCTCTTCTAATCTACTTTTAAATTGGCAGCTGAGTTGTTCGTGACCTGAGACCGTGCGGTGTCAGGTTTTTGAAATCTTATTTTAGAAGTGTTGTCTGGTGCTTTGAATCAACATAAGGTCTATCCAAGAGGTACTTGGAGCTCATATTGCTCCAGATTTGTAAACATAATTATTTGATGATAAAAATGAGTGGGTTGAATACTGAAATGTAGCACATACTGAATTAAAGTGTGCCAGTAAAAACTGAGGGCATGACAAAGGATACATTTTATGCAGTTATATCTATTATGTTTAAAGGCAGCTGTACATGTCTGGGTGGTTAAACATCGATTTGTGGTTAATCTATATTTTCTATTTATATTTATCTTTCCTATCATAATTCACACCTTAATGTGTTGACATCTGATTTAATTAAGAATGTTCAAATTTAATAAATCAATCAAATTTGCACAAGATGGAATACAGATGCAATGCAATATGTGGAGAAACTCAAGCTCCTCTTCAAATCCTCTTAACGTCCAATCAGCTATGAGCTATATAATTGTTTTCTAAAAAATCTGCAGCACAAAAGCTGCCACTTGAGACCACTTCCTCTCCTGTTAATTATGACAGTATTCAAAACATCATCCTTGGAACTCCTTAGTGAGAATGAGAACAGAATTCTTTAGCTATTTCTGCAAAAAAATCAAACAATTTGTACGGTCAGTTAAGACTGCTTGTCTGACTTGGCAAAAATAAATTTGTCGTGATTCACCAGCTGTTCTTCTGTCTGGGTTGCAAAACAAATTCACAATAAACTAATCCAGAAATGCCATAATTAAAGATAGGATCTATCATTCCAAATATCCCCGGAGATTAAAGTATGTCATGATGAGCTTTTTGATGTCCACCAAAGTTTCTCTTTTTCGCTCGTTAAAATGAATTCTTCTGCAAAATTACAACCACAAACAATACAGCCTGTACTGCATTCTTTCAGTACACAGCCCAGTTTATTCACTTGAAATTGATCAACAGAGATGTGGCTGATTTGCATAGCTTTTTGGAGGCTTTTCAAAAATTATCCTGACTTGCTTCTCTGACTTGCTTTTCAAATGAATGAAAAACCCAAGTTACATTTGAATACATCTTCAGATTTAAAAAACAAACAACAAAAAAAACACTGTCACATTAAGTGTTACCTGGTGATGCTCCAGAGGGGTTCAATGCGTTGGACTGTGGGGTCCTCTATGTACTCAAATGCCAGACTTCCAGGAACTCTGGCCCGGTCGACGCTCAAACTGACTTGCACCGGTCCCGCTCCCGTCACAGAAGGAGCAGAAAAGCACACAATCTCTGACATCGTCCTCCTGGTGGGAGCACCAAAAGAAGCATTTATTCCTGCTTGAGACTGTGACTTCCCACTCACTGCTGCAGCAGAAAATCCCTGACATCAGACAGTTATGAGCCATACTAAGGGGACAGGATTCATTATAGTCTGGCCCATCTACTCCTTGTTACAGACACATTAGGGATGGAAACTGTAATTAGAAGGTGCTCCGGCTAATGGCTTCCTTCCTTCACCTGCCTGACTTGCTACCATGGTAGCCATTTTGAACTTTAAATAGATGCCTATAAATACACAGGGAACGAAATCCGCTGCTGAGTTCCATCACCTCCTCACCAATCATAACTTGGACGTTTCATTTAACATGCAGACACTTAATTGTATTTAAAGTGAGCTTTATTTAAATAGAGCGTCCTCTTACTGTGTTTGATTGAAACTGCAGATGGTTCATTCATTAATATTATCATGTAGAGACAATTTCCCTACAGAGGGGTCTAAATCGGGACTCTTGAGGAATGTAAGGTTCAGGTGAAGAATAGGAAGAGCAAGAGAAGGCCTCGCTATCGTGGGACTCACCTGTACAGCTCACAGGTCTGATTTCCGAAGTACACGTTAACCGTGCTGCCGGCGCCCAGGTTCTCCCCGACAATGGTTACTTTGGTGCCCCCCGATTCAGGTCCTCTGCCTGGAGTTAGCGCCATCATGGTGGGGATCTGCGGAGCGCCAGTAATGTAGTTTAGTAGAAAAAAATGTAATGCTCTCTCAAATCTGAAGTAGTAAATATGAAGTTATTGCTCTTAGAAATAAAGATCACCATTGTTTCTAATCTGTGTCACCCCAAAATATTTAATAAAATGCACATGGTGAATAAAGACACAGAAAGACACACATTTTTTCAAACTATTTTACATCCTAATGTCAAACTTGGGCGGCAAAGTGGATGATCGATGATCGACTTCTCAATCAAATTTTTAAAAGAAACATTTCAATGCCACAATTACCACAAAGGAATAGAGCTGGGAGGATTGTGCACGCAGTTCCGGTCTGCATTCACCAACGCAAAGCATGACTGGGCCTGGTGCGCTTCCAGCAGGAGCTGCGGCCATCTCGCACACAATCCTGTCAAGAGCGAAAAACACAACTGCATGAACGTAGGCACTAAAAGACACAGACTGAATCCGGAACACACACGCGCACGCACGCAAACGTAAGCATCACTGCGCTGTATCGCATTTGTCACAATCTCCACTGCTGGAGGACAGACTCCTCCGGCCACTGTGATTGAAGTAGACTTTCATTGAAGTTGTGGGTCAATACAAAGAGCCATCTTTCTTCCTAATGGGAAACCTATAACAGCAATATAACTCACATGATAAACTACACCACTCCCCATCTTCAGCACGGTTGCCACCCACCATTACCTCCGGTTGTCATGACAACATAGAGCTTTCCTCAATAAATCAGTATTGCCTGTCAGGTCAATAAGATAAAGTACACCTTGAATAAGTCATTATAGCAACTGACCCTTGCTGAAGTGAGTGGCTGAAACAGATGCAATGCCATGTTTTAAGGCACCGTGTGGCTCAAATGAAAGGATTCTGCTAAAGGAAACTCGCATTCCCGGTACAGCATGGGCACCCAATGAGTCGTCCCTGCCAAACCCTTCTGCTCGTATATCACGTGAGTTTTCCAATTTTCTGCTGGCCTGTTCTTTTTTCCTTTTTTTTTTTTTTTTTTTTCTTCTTACAAGGATATAAATAAAGTCCCTGCAGACTGAGCCCAATCGCATTACATGGCTGTGAGAGAAACACATGGCTAACAGATTGTCCCTCCAGTCAGCGACACGCGGCGCATTTCAATTACAGCTGTGCCGTCAGTCTCAGAAACAACGACGGAGCCCGTCTCCTGCATCGGCTCTGACTGCACCAGAACAATGCAAAGCCCCCCCCCCACACACAATCCCCCACCCCGACGAGGCATCGTGGGGTTTCCTCCCTTCTGCTCACACCACGCTGCTGTTTTAGTGTCAACAAGAAGATTGTGTTGATTTAAAAGTGCTGCTTTTACGTGTGTGTTTGCTTATGTTCAGAATGTAAGGGGGTTGGGGGGGGTAGAGTCTTTCTTACTGCTCTGCAGTGATGTATCCCTCCTCCTGCGGGGTGCACTCCACCCCTGCCACTTCCACATTATCCTCCAGCTCAGAGAAGGAGAGACCCAGGTTAAGGCCCTGGATGGTGACAAGTGTGCCCCCCTCCAGAGGCCCTGCCACCGGGCTTACCTGCAATAGTAAGAAAATAATAAGATGAAGTAGGTCCTGAATTGTGTGAAGATCTCTGATCACAACTACATACTCTTCTATGGTGCGCATTCTATTATTTACCTTAACGAAGGTGGCGAACTTACCATCATAAATTTATGCATAGCCTAAAATGTCCTAAAACCTATAGCCTATACCTATATTTTTGGATTTGTAAGTCTTAAGAGACTCTCCCACGACACGTTTACTGGTCAAATACATAAAAAACCTGGCTGGAATCTTCATTCATATATAAACCGAATTAAATCTAATTAATTCGACTCAAATCAAAATGCATTGAATTGCAAACCCTGGGAAATCTATTCACAGTCCTTCCCACTATAAAGTCAGCCATCTCAGTGTGGTACATTCTGACCTACAGATCAGAATAGGAGCAATGCTGGAGCAACTCTGCCTTCACTCCGGAGCTGATTCACTCGGCTGCAGCTCCTTCAGAAACACTAATAATGTGACAGGGACATCAAAGCCTGCCGGCTCTTTGAAGTGGAAGCGCCTCGCATCTTTGTGCCTGACCCCCTGTGCCTCATTCACCAGAATGAACAGGACTTTGGGACATAAAAGATCCATCACCTCTTTCTAAACAGACCGAATTCGCTTAGCTGTCAAGCACTTAAGACGCTCAGCTGGCGAGGCAAAAAAAAGAAAAAGAAAAAAGAAGCTGGATGCTCTCAGGTAAACAGGCCCCTCGGCTGGGAAATTGGAAGGTGGCCAGAGATAAAAATTAGTGTTGTTGTTCATGTGTGCAGCCCAAGCTGCTGTATTTGCCTGACAAATTGTGCTGGCATGTTTGGCTAAGACATCGCACAGTACAAACAAGTTTGGCCCAAAAGCTGTGTTTTCCACTGAAAACCTAAATAAAAAGGGGAAAAAATATCCTCATTTCCATGCACTATTTATCATCAAGCCTTTATGGATTGTATCGTACATCCATAATGACTGTATTATTGAATATTGCCCATTGGATAATACCTTGGTCATTGCCACAATACAACAATATCCAGTTCTTTTTTAGTTTTATCCATTAAACTGGCTCTTTCTGTTTCTTATCCTCCACCTGGTCTCTTGGCAGGCTGAGAGGAGCTAATAAATTTCCTCCGATAACATCCCGTGTTCAACTCGGATTCTCAGACACTCAGTGAGGCTCTTCAATGCAAACGGAGCAGACTGAAAGTACTGATAACTTTATCTTCCTCCTTGTAACCATCATTAAAAATGTACTTTTTTTTTTTACTTGTTCAGGACTTCTGAAATATAACAAAAGAAATAACATAAAATGACACTTTTCCAGTACAGGCAAAAGATAAACAGAGACGAATTACAGTAATAAGAATAAACTTTTCACAACTTGTGCTTTTGTAAGTGCAAGAAATGTTATGACACAGTTGCTAACATGAATTTTTTCTCCTGGACAGCAAACGCCACCCCCAAAAACAGTTTGAAAAAGCTGACCTCGGTAATGCGTGGGTTGGTACACTTGACATTTCTGGCGGAGAGGTCCAGCCAGCGGCCGGCGTACGGGGAGATGGGGGGACAGTGCTGCTTCATGGTGCAGCGGCCCTCGCCGTTGCACCAGCCGCACTGAAACTTCCTGTCTGCCCGCAGACACATGCCGCAGCTGTCCCGCTGGGCACTGCACTTGTAGAGGTTTACTGCGGGGGGGGACACAGGACAAACGTTAGGAGCCGAGGTTACGAGAGAAGTTCTAAAAGTTATACACACTTAGGAAAACCATTCAATTCAGTTCACACTGCGCAAATGAAAACTTTCAGGAAAAAGCATCACAAAGTAATCCAGTAAACCTCTTAGTTATTGCTTCCATCCTACAATGTTTATCACCCAAAATACCATAAAACGTCCCATTGTAATTACATGTGTGTATTCCTTGATGACTGTAAGTTATTAACCCTATAATACCAAATGTATCATATTTGATACATACGGTTTCTGAAGTCTTTTGGATCTGAGACTTTTTGCAAAAGCTTTGCTCAAACCCCGGTTGTACACATTCAGATATACCTGATAACAGCGATTAGGAGACTACATGAAAATATATTATTGACTTATTGTATGCTAATTTGATCAAAAATCATTTCTGTTCAGTTTTTTTTTCTTCATATTTTGTTTTGGGGCCAAAGAAAGACTTTACACTAAAAAAATCCAATATTCTTCCTATTTTCTTGGATAAAGCTTTAGAGGGTTAATGTAAAGCTCAGTGACAGGCCACTCCTTCTGCATGATGACTCGAGATAAACCAAAACCAGATGTAGACGTGAGCTGGGCAGCTATGAGGATTCACCCCTTCATCCTTTTGGGGCGCACAGCTGATCGGGCGCTCTTTGATAACCCTCCTTGCTATTGTGAACCGTCTTTAAAGAGCCTATGGGAGCCAAAAAGCGCTCTCTATAAACTATCTATCCCCCGCGAATTGAATGCTTTACAGTCTTCTAGTTTGGCAGTGATGGATGGCAGAGGCACCTTTAATCTTCTCCGGATTGTCGATGATGAAGTTGCCATTCCACACTATGGAGAGGTCCACTGCCAGGTCACCGATCTTCACACCCTCGTACATGTACTGAAAAGCAGAAAACAGAGATTAAGAGAGTCTCCAGAAAGTGGAACCGGGAGAGAGAGAGAGAGAGAGAGAGTCAAGGAGAGACAGTGGATGGAGAATATAAAAAGATCCAGAGAGACAGAGTGGGGGAAATGAGAGGATGAAAGGGGAGCAGAGAGACGAGGCTTTTAACCATCTGTCATTTTCTGCCATGGTTGTCTGCTTCTCTCCTCTTTGACATGTAGGGACGCACACCCGGGCTGGGGTGAGCAATCATCCACATCTGAAGAAAATGGCCCTTTCATGCATTGTCACAGTGTGGCAAAATATGCAGCGCACTGAAATTTAACTTGCGATTTATATTATGTTAAAATAAAAAATCCCAAGGAAAAAGCCGTGAACACCCCGTAAATCAATTTCACAAAATCCAGACTGTGAGATGAGGTCATAGTGTTGGTCCCCAGAGTTTGACTTTAACTGTTAATCTGTTTTTTTTTTTCCCCCCTAATTTCCTTTGTGTCTCGGCTCTTTTGCGCCTCAAACTTTTCCCCAATACTTGGCACCTCTCCTAAACCTCTTCTACCTTCTCCTTCCTCGTTTTTTCTGCGGCACTCCTCATCATGCTGATGCACCCTGCTCACTTTGCCTACACAGCGCAGAGGCTATCTGCCTCATTTGACAGCTGTGAGATTTCCCCGCCGAGAGTGTGTGAGGTCGTACCGAGCTGTTCTGGCACTGCACGCTGGTGCTGTTGAAGCGCAGCGCCGTGACGCGGTGACCCACGCCCTGCACGCTGACCACACACTCGTAGCCCCGCTGGCCCGACTGCGGCTGGGGAAGGTTCCGGGCCCTCAGGGTGATGGGGCGGACCTCGCCGGCGGGAATGAGAATTTCCCCAGAATTAAGAAGCTGAGGGCAGTCCTGAGGTTGGAATAAATAAAACAGAAGAAGAAGAAGAAGAAAAAACACACATTAGACCTTAATGTGAAAGGAAATAAACATCAGTATATTACCGTCAAGCTTTAATAATAAAAGCCCATAATGCAAGGAATATAGGTAACTTACATAACTTCTCATATGTTTGTGCTGTGGCTGTTTTTTTTTTTTTTAATGTGCATCTGTCTGTTATATAAACACAGAGGACTAAAGTGGCACAGGGATTAATAGTGTGAATGGGGTGAATGCATCACATGGTGCATGTTGCCCTATAAAGATATGTGTTAGACAGCACGGACAAGCCTGAGAGTGGGAGCAGGAATTTTTTTAGCTTGGAGCTGCATGATCTGGTTGTTTGAACAACACAGCTGGCCCGCTGCGTCTGGCTGTCTGGGGTCGGATGCTGGGGGGGGGGGGGGCTTCTGCTCTGGGGGGGTGGGTTTGGTGGCGCTCAGGTTCGGCATTATTGAAAACGTGTAAAGTTTAGTAACAAAAATAAATAAATAAAGCAGTTTTGGGTAATCAAGGGGGGGGGCTTCTCACCAACAAAGCCTCCCCTTGGCAAAGCAGTTTTCAGTTCTGCTGCCATACTGCTGAACAGGACAAGGTAAAAATAAATTAATTAAATAAATAAAAAAATAAAAAAAACAATAACAAATAAACAACACAGCTTCACTGTATGCACAAATTCACAAATATGCACTGAAATGTTCACGTTTAGTCAGACAAACACAAAACTTTCACTTTTTTTTCTCCACACTGTTTCTTGAATGTTTAATTATCCATAAAAATACAATAATAATTTCTGTTGATTTATATTTATAATCATTATGAAATCCTATCCGTATTTCTGTTACAGTAATAACATTGTCGATGTGTTGACATTTATAAAAAAAAGTATCATCATAACTGACTTACCATATACCATAGTTAGTAAAAAAATTATATCAAATCTTTTATTAACTGGGCTCTCTTATTAAACTAAAATGGTACAAATGATACGGTGCTATCACTGGTATTATGACCATGCTGTCATGTTTAATCTAGCCTCCAGCTAAAAAAATCCCTTCCTCTGCACAACCTCCAAGAGTCACAAGCGTGCGTGTAAGCTTTTAATCTTGTTCTATCTTTACAGTGGGGTTATCTTTCCCCGCATCTTTTCAAACGTGTCACCTATCGGATTCTAAATTGTGCGGTTTAATGCTAAACGATGCTGTACCTCTGAGGCGTTGACTCTCCCCTCCTGGAAAGAACAGCTGCTTGGGTCGTGGGTGCAGAGGTTGCGGTATTTACACCAGTGGCAGCGGAAAGTGCTGTTCACACAGGACAGACACCTGCAGGACAAAAAACCACATGGTGTACACAAAAGGAATTATGTAATCATACAACAGGAAGATCTTTGCCATGTTATGTATCAACTCAGCCATTTTTGCATAGAAATACAGTATGTTCCACCCAGGAAATGCGACTGTCTTTACGTTACTGGCTTGAGTTGGATGTTTGAGGGGTAGAGTTGTGCAACACCCTTGGAACTAATTCAGTTGCCTAAAGCCAGCTGTCAGTTGTGGATTAACATTGTTCTTGACAAACCTCACCGGACTTGATTTAATCACATTTGAGACGCCAAATATGGAGGCAGTGACGTCGTCAACTGATGTTGATATACAAACAGAGGATGAGGTGAGGTTCAATTCTAAGATGTCCCCTATCACCGTGGCAGGTCAGGTGGGCGTGCTGCAGTGTAGAAAACAGCTCCGTGTTCACTCTCTTTTTCCCAAATAAATGACTTAGATGTAACCAGTGGGAAGTCATAAAACTACAAGCAGCTCTCTGATACAGCAGCTCATAATGAGCAACAAATGTCAATAAATGTAGCCAGCATCATTAAATCCTGATATTAATTAGCGTCCCCTCTGACAGGATGGACATAAAAATGTGTGTTGATGCTTGTGAAAAAAATAATTGATGCGGGTTGGGTTTTAATAGAACTGGATTGTCAGGGTGCTACAAACACTGGATAATTAATTGTGGACCGTCATGTGATGCCGAGGTGATCTTGGTGGGGAAAGAGGTGCTGGCCTAGGAGCATGTCTGGCCTGAAATATTAATCACAGGAGCACAAAGGGTCACCCCGCGGCTAATGGAGGCCATACTGGCTTGGAGCAGATGTGATGAGCTTCCAGCTGTTTCTCTCAAATGGCTTAGCACGGGTATAAAGTGGCCTTCATGTACCCACAGTGAGCTAATTTCCTGGGTTCAGTTTTGTGTGCGCCATCAATCAAAAATTCTGTCCTTTTGTTAACTTAGATATCCCTGAATCCAGCTCCTGTTTCACCTAAAGTCAAACTACTGTGTAAAGCAAAGTCTAAACACACACAGAAATTATTTTAAACACTCCAAAAAAGCCTCACCTCTTTCAGATAAAAACCTCTAAAGTACCTTTGCAACATAGTGTGTTTCAGCCTCGTTGGAGACTTATTAATTGTTTTGCATTGCTGTAAAAACATATAAATATCATAGTTTGTAGACATTTTTGCAAGCCGAGAAATGCCACTAATTGACATTCATCCCAATAAGATCTTCTAATGCAGCTGTTTGTAATTGTTATTCACCATGAAAGATTCTTGGGTTACTTTACTGTCATGATTAATACAGTTGACATTTGCAAAATAGCGCAAAGTCAAAACAGCTTCCCCGCCCAGTTAGGGAGCTTATATTGGTTGGCATTTAAATAAAGTGCTCTTCAATTTACATGATTTTACGTACCCTCAAGCCACCAGAGAAAGGACAAAAATTTAGAACAGCCTATGTCTTGAAAGCACATTTCTCCGGCTGAGTCTCTTGAGACAAAATTGGGTCAAAAGGAGGTTTGTGGGTTTAGTGCTTATCTATTTATCAGCCCTCGGAGACTGCTGGCCCACAGGAAGCTGTCTCCAGGTGTGAATATGTATTAGGGTAGAAGCTAACTATAATAGTTTGTTGCAGTAAATTCAACAATAATTTACCTATTTGAATCACTCTTTGAGTCCTAGACTGCACAGGGGACGCTAACAACACAAATACCAGCTGTATCTTCAAATGTCTTCTTTTATCACTTTAGAGGGCCCAGAAATGTATATCCAGCTGATCTGAAGGAGGAAGTCCTTATTGCAGACACAGTGTTCTGAACAAAAGGTTGACTTAAAGAGGATAGAAACACTAACTAGCACAAATTGTGTTCATAGAAAAAGCATGCATACAAGGACGAGTTCAGGATGAATAAAAAATAATTATAACCAATGAATTAACACCAGTGTGTTCTTGAAAAAGCTGTTAGCGGGAGAAGTAAGCCCAGAAACTGCCACTTAAAGCAAAGTAGAAATAAACAGGCCATGACAAATGCATCATGTTGATTTAAATTAAACCTGACAGATAAATTGAACTCAGAGGTTATCTAACAGCACAATCTTAAGTGGGGTTGTGAGCATCAGTACATCATTGCCCTAAATTAAGTTGTGCTCTTCCATCTATTGAACAAATCAAAGGAGGTTGGGGGGAGAGAGAGGGGGAGGGGCGACTCCTCTTACATTTTATGCGTGCTGCAGTTGTAGAACTTCACCTCCGTGCTTGCAACCATTTGACCCGTCTCCTTTGAGTTCAGACGAAGCTCTACGCCGGCCCAGTCTGTAAAGGAGGGAGTGGAAAAAAACCCAATGAGAATTTATAAGAGTGAGGGACTAAAATGAATAAAGCCCCTTAGCAAGAGTCTAAAATAATTCCATTCAAAGCCTCATAGACCTCCATTTATACAGTCTTGGAAATTACAGCTCCAGCTTGTTTTTCTTTTGAAGTTGATATCTACACTCACCTTGTCCTTCTGGGATCCGAGGGACCTCCTTCCCGGTTGGGGAAAGACACATTACCCTGTTCCCATTGACATGACCCTCTGCTTGAGCCTGCTGGCCAAATGAGCAGGTAATTCCAGCAGAAAGATCTGGAACATTATTCACCTCCAGCAGGAGCTTGAAAAAAAGAAAAGAAAAAGAAGAAAAAACAGGGGAGGTTTAACAAGGCGCCGAAAAGAAAGACAAGCAGGCAGCCTGTGCACTGACACGTCCAAAACCAAACATGGCTAACTGTGAAATAGATATAGCGTGAATAAATGCTATTTTGTTGGATATATTCATTTTTCCTCTCACGTAATAGAAAAACTTAACTACTTGTATTGTCAGTTTATTCAATATTCAACAGTACCTGCTTGGAAAATGGGAAAAACAACCCAGAGTTCATTGCTATTAGGTAGCGCCAAACTCCGCCTTATAACTCTTAAACTGGGCAGTAAACATGTTTTTCACAATCTGACAAAGAGTGGAAGTTGTCGTTTTACAGATATATACGAGCCAAATGTTTTGTCCAATTGTTTAGGTATGTCCAGTTTTTGTGCCTGTCCAACAAACCGCATCCAGACTCAAATCCTGCCTTTCAATACATTCATTTAAACCAAATAAAATACAGAGGAAGCCCCACAGGGAGAGTCGCACCCCCCCCCTTGTCTGACTCCCCGTCTCAGAAAACTAATCTCTGTCAGGCTTACACTCACGGTGCATGTAGCTACTCACAGTGATTGCTCATAAACACAGGCACCGTTAGAGCGGTGACAGAACAGTGATTGGTGGGATGACGGGCGGACTCACAGGGACGCTATGTGCTGACACAGCGATGCTGTCCGGGTGAGCGATGACCTTCACACAGCGGTCAACGTCGGTCGCGAAACGGAAGCTCTCCTCTGCCCGCAGGCACCGATCCTTCCTGGAGCACCTGTGGAAAAAAGAAGACGCTCAGTTTAACACGCGCTCGTCTCAAAGAAATCACGGCAACTAGCGTTTCAAAGACTACAAAATATTCAGCTGGTATTTTTTTTAATGCTAATCGCGCATAAAACAAACTCATTCTGTCTTTTTATTATCACCACAACATGACATTTTATCTTTTCAACCTTTTTACTTTGCTCTTTTTTTTCAGGGCAATAACAAGGCCGGGCTTAAACTTGCACGTCTCAAAACACAGTTAAAAGTGGGGAGAGCGAAAGGGTTGGCTGCACAGTGTGGCCTTCAAGTGATCTTTTAGAAAAGACAAAAAGCTACGCAACAGCGCACACTGAAGGAGCAGTGGAGAATGAAATAGTTATTTAAATGTCAAGTCACTTGCTCAGTTTCAGAAAAAGGTACATTCTCTGGTAATTCCATTTAGCTGCAACCAGATTGATACCCGGTGTTTTTAAAAAAAGAGGATAAATGAAATTTGGCGTGTTCTGATAGAAGAAGACTATTCAAAAGAAAATGCCAAACTTTAACAGCAAACTTCAGGGAGGCTCTTTCCTTTCTGTACACGTCATCTTGTTCTTTGAATGTCTGATTTGCACAGTGAGAGGAGAAGGTGCTCAACACGGGTTCAGATGCTGTTGAGGGGGCGGCACCTCCCGAGAGTTCAAAGAACACCGAGGCCTCCGCTGTAATTACGGCTCCACACAAAGGTGGACTGGAAACACAGCGGCAGCTGCTAGCTGCTGCTTCGGCTCCTTCAGCCACGGGAGTATAGATGGTCACCTTCTGACCGCTCATCAGCTGAAGAGCTTCGGGGGTGGAAAAAAAAGGCGCCTTTTATCTCTGTATGTCTTTCATTGCCTTTTATTTTCATCTCTTTCATTTCCCGTGTTTTGTCTGATCGAAACCATTTGTTCCCATTTCCTTCAAGCTTTTTACATGTTAACAAACTCCCCCCCCCCCCCGACTGGCGCCGTTAGATAGGTGCCACGCTGCACTGTGGCAAGGGTGGGAAAGAGAAATCCTCAAAGCCGTCAACATGACACTGTGAGAGGCATTTAGAGAGTGTAAAAAGACCCACTCTGGATTTAATCAGACAGAAAAACAAAGTAGCTTCACTCTGCATTGTGAGGAAATCAGGATTCTTTTTTTTTTTTGTCACTGGAGGGAGCAGAAAGGCATTAATTTAGATAAAGAGCGTAATGAGAGTTGCAGACAAAGTGAGACTTAAGGAAAAAAAGGGATGAAATACAACTGTTTAAGGAGATAATTGAGATTTCTACATTTTTTGCCCGCACTTCACCGCTTGTGCGATAAAACTGAGAGCCGGAATTTAAATAATGCTGATTATCGTCGAGATATTGCGAGCTGAAATTCAGACGTGAAATGATGAGACGAGGATAAATCCCCAGCTGAGGTCAGCTTCAAACATAGCGGCTGGTTCAGAAACACAGGCTTTTAATCTTCTGAATCCCCTCTGCTCCATATCGAGGTGTTATGCAAGCTAACCTGAGGTCAGATAATTAAGATGGAGGAGATAAGCTCGCTCCATCAGGTCCAAAATGTTCTCCGGGTAGGTAGGGGTGCGGTTGGTGCAACTGCAAGGCTAATCCCTCCCTCCTCCATTAACACCAGTTCTCCTCTCACTCGGCAGACAATAAACTTCCGTTGGCTGTGCATTTTTATGGTGGAGCTATTTGGAAGACGTCACACTGTGCAGCCACCACATCCCGGTGTTGCTGTTTGGTGAACTCCTGGGAAAATAACAGTCGCATGAAAACAAATCATATCACTATATGCTTAACCTCTTTCTTATAGCAGTTTGGTTAACAGCGACGTTGTGGTTTTTAATCCCTCAGCTCTGATGCGGACATGCGGGTTTTACATAAGATAAAGGTAAAAAAAGAAAAAAGGCTCACATGTTGTACAGGACACACCAGCCACAGTGGGGATCACCAGAGCTCAGACACTCAGCACATGTGGCATACTGCTCGCAGGCTTCCACAGGAACCTGGACCACCTGGAACGATGAAAGAGGGAATTGAAATTGGAATGGAACACGTAATAGTGATACTTTGATACTGAACCGTGTACTATTTACAGCCACTGTGACGCTCAGACGTTTAGTTCTACGCCAAGTATCCACTGAAGCTTATTACCGGACAAACTCACTGTTCATGTTTCAGTCCCGTGTTACTAATTGAGTCACTACCTGAATTTGACAGTGGTAGTTTTTGAATTAGGACAACGAAGGAGAGAAGAAAGGGAGAAGCCATCATAAGTCACGCACACTTTATTCGGGAGTGAAATTGACTTTCCACACGGTCACCTTAAAAACTGCAATGAACGTTTGCCCTATTTCATATAGTGAGTAAGCATGATGAGCACGATTCAGGCTCACAAATGACTAACAAAGACACCTCTTGTCTCATATGTAACATTAAAACAGCTGAACGATGGACAGATCAGGTTTTGTTTCAATTTATGGATTTCCACTGTTATTAAACCATCTTTGAATTGTACACAAATGTTTGCACCCTTCTCTGATGTCGGACCATTTTGTTGCAACCAGCAACAGAGTAACTTTCTTAAACTCTTTGCTTATGTCCTGTATTATTGATAAGACAAATATGTCGCAGACTCGGACAGCCTATTTGGTCTTGGCATCATGGGATGATGGTCAAGATGTGCTACCATCTCAATCAAGAGCCTCTTGGAAGCACTTCTGAAAACGTAAGTGCATGCTGCCTCTTGAAAGAGGGCTGTTTACATGCAGAAACTGCTCCCTGTGAGCCTCTCCACTTTTGATGATGCTGCATTCAAATCTGCGGCCTCGTCGGGAAACAGGGCAGCAACATGAGGATGAATAGCAGCAAAATGAATGTCATCCCCTGAATATTGAATGACACACACGTGCAATAATAATCAGAATTTGGATAAGACTGAATTATTTATTTTCGGTTACTGTAACTTATTGACCTCACATTTGATTGTGCATATGGATGAATTAGTCACTTTGCAGAAATGTTCAAAACTCTTCCATCAAAAGTTGTAAATGGCTGCCATCAACACTGAAATGTTCAGATGAAATAATAACTTTAGTAATTCAGTTGATGTTTTTGGAAATCAGCCCAAAAAACAAAACAACCCCTCTTTTTTTATAATTTGGCTTTCAGGTTTTGCCCACATGATGAAATGTCATATATCATATATGTAGATATCACACAGAATCCTCCCAGAGCTGTTTTTACAGGTACGAACATTTCTGGGATACACTGTATAGTTTGTGCTCTTTCCAGAACACACAAGCAAGAATACATCCAGTCATACAACCACACGCTTAATGCATTAATGTCTAGCAAAGTAGAGGCTCTCCATTCGTTGCTGTGAGAATTGCTGCAGTTGCACGAGCTCTGCACACGAAACCAGACTGAAAATCAGCCCAGCTATTTTCTACTTGGTCATTATTCCAGGTCTGGACATATGATGCAAGCAATTTCCTGATGTAAGCAATCACAAATGAAGAGTGAATTATGGATTAGAGTGTTTCTGGTGCTCTTGATAGCATAAGTGGGTGCTCTCTCAGGTCTGCGTTGACAAAATGGATTATCTGCTGCTCCCTACAAATAACTTTCTTTTCCCAAGCAGTTCAGAACCGGTTTGATGCGTTCCATTAGCAAAATGACTTTGTAGAATGGGATGGGCTGAGGCCCCTAATCCATGACCTGTTGTGGTTCGGAGCTCGGCTAAACTAAGTTAGCTGTTCTGTGGCTGTTAGGCAATGTCACTTTTGCAAGGGCAGAGCTTTAGATCAGCCTTACTCAGAATCAAATGAGAACGTTGATCTGTACATTTGGTGCATCAAGCTGTATTCGAAATAAATCAAAAGAGGAAAAATAAAAAAAGTAAACAGGACAAATATATGGATAAACCAACGGATGATCACTGTAACTCAGTGTTCATGAATATGGAGGGGTAAAGGGAGAAGTAAGATTTTCCTTAATTTTTTAGAAAATTTCCAGCATCCACAGACAATTCAAAGTCTTCATATAACCTTACAGGTAGTGGTTAGCACCATCACCTCACAGCAAGAGGCTTCCCGGTTCCATGGGGACCAGAACCGTTCATGTTTTTGGACTGCGAGATTAAAAAATGTGCAAACTCCACACAGAAAGGCCCTCAGCGATTCATACTGTAAACACTCAGATTATGCGCTTCATGATTTAGTAGAGCAGGTGTTGCTTGTATTTTTGTCTCACATAAAAAAAAAAAAAGTGCTTTCTGGTCTGTTAATGTTGATGCCTCATAAATCACTCACAGTTAAACAAAAGTTGCAATCTTTCTCATAAAGAATGTGTTTGTCTTCTGTTTCTACGAGTTCAATTTACTGATCTCTATGCAGAAAAATGACAATACTTCACTCCAGTGAGGCGAGATCAAAGCCTTGTTGTTCTGCTGTTGTATTGTTCCCTGACTGTGTTGTCATTAAATCCACTTCTCCTGCGTTTGGAATTACAAAGTAAATCTATTCAAAACATCGGGGATTCCCTAACATGAATGGTCCGATGACCTTATCAGTTTGCTTTCACTTTAAAACTTTCACCTGGATTTTCTGAAACTTTACATACGCTATCAGATGATTCCCCTACGCTGTCAGTCCTTAGTATGATCCACCACATCACAGAGAAAAGCTATCAGTTTACAGTATTTTAGCATTTCTTGTGTGGACTCATCAAAGCAGGAATTTTCTTTGTGTTCTGTCCCAAAATGTCTACAAAAAGTCTGCTCGCTATTCTAAAACCAAACTGTATCATTTGAAAAAGTCATGCATACACACACAAAAGCTGTTCACAAATTTTGATGCCAGATAATAAGCCAACTTTTGACATTTTAACAGATCAAAGATGATCTCATTTCTGCAGTCTGCACGATTTTTTGACATGTAGATTATGCAGATTAGTATCTAAATTCCTCACAGTGCAACCTGTAAAAGGTCTACACGTGTGACATTCTACAAATTAACAGCTCGCTTTTGAATGGCAAGGATCAGAGACTTTCTTTAGAACAATTTATTCAACACGTTTGCCACAGTGAAGTATGTGTGCAGATCAAAATGTGTGATGACTCGACTGATAGACAATGGGGACGCACAATCTTGTTTTTGTATCATCTCGAGGCTTTGACTGATACAGATGCAATCATTCAGGATGGGAGGAAATTGAGCTATCTGTCAGTATGTTTACATGAAACCAGCAAAAAGCCAGAGTAACTAAGGCTTTCTGCATATGCCTCAAAGCAGCATCCATTCGTTTTTCAGCGACCGGAGCAAAAAGGATTTTAAAAAAGAAGAAAGAGAGAAAAAGTTGGAAAATTGAAAAATACAATAACATTCTTTGTGTGTCCACATTAATGATCTTAATATTCAATGATAAAAAAATTAAAGTAGTGGGACGAAACAGCTTTAAATAAAGCACAAAATATTTAAAAAGGGTGTGCAGGCTTTTCTACTAATCTGTGAGGCCAGATGGTAATTAATGTTATTTTACATGCCGAAGCAATTATAAGTAGGCAGGATCAAAAAAGAGGAGCAGCTGAACGAGACTGAAGACTAGGCTGATCATCACAGCCATATGAAAACTTTCATCTATTCTTACTCATTTTACATCTGTTACTGGAGAGTTACACCAACAGCTATGTTGATGTGGCAACAAAAATGACCATTTAAATTATGCACGCATTATGAGACGGAAATTTTGGTGTGAGGTGCGCATAGATACAGGAATATGTCATCTAATTTAATATAACATAAGAAAGTAAACAATTTCATTCTAATATCTGTCAACCAAGAGCTTGTGTGTTCTTTTTTACGCTCTAAAACTATTAAGCTGTAGCTTTTTAGTCGCTCAATTTTGACCGTCTTACTACCACTTCCTACTTCTCAGCACTGCTGATTCAACTACTCAACAAGTGGGCAGGAGATTTGAACTGGTATCAGGATTGAACACCTTGAGCTGGTAATTACAACCCATTGTGGAGATTCAGCAATCAAGCAAAGAGGTTTAACTGATTATGACCTTGAGCAACACATGAATTTTCCCAAGTCTGGTGTGATGCAAATGTTGCGTCATGGGCTTGTAGACACAATAAAAATGTTCCATTTTAAGGTAATGCAGATAAACCTCAAGTTTCTATTTTAAAAAAAAGGTAGATTCTTTCAATTTTCCAGAGAACCTTCAGGTTTAAATGAAAGTATTAGCAGTGATGTGACTACAATTTCTAATTGTAATTTATAATAAATAAAACTATATATATACAGCATAACAATAACCCAAAATACTGACATTTTAATATCAGATGTATCAGACAGAGATGTAAAATTGCTACAAACCTTTAGCCTGAAAGAGCCCATTTATAACTTATCTTGGTACAATAGATAGTTTAACTGACAAAACTCGGTAGATAAGTCTTTTTAGACAGGCTAAGGGGAAAAAATGGTAAACAGAATAATAAAAAAGAGGAAGAGCAACACAAAGATGTGCTTGGGTGGGATATCAACAAGGACTTGGTGACAATTTGAGAGACTGCCCCGGAAAAACCTTCCCCTCTTCTCAGGTTTAAAGCCCTAGCCATCACTTCACAGACAGAACAGCAACACTCGGTGAGAGTGTGTTTGGATTCTGAGCATTTCTGTTCCTAGAAATGATCTAACTAAATACGTACAGTGAGAAAAAAAGATTAACTTGTTGTGAAGACTTTGTTTTTCATATCAATAATAGCTCCCAAATGGTATTTTAGTGAGAACACAAACACACACAAAAAAAACCCACACCCCCACATACGCGCTTATTCCTCCTTTTTTTCATCTCACTCTTCATCGTCATGCTAACCCTGCGTGTTTCACCCGGTGGGAGACAGAGGAGCTCATTGTTATTCCACAAGGGTCGGCTGATCTCAGCCAAATCTGTCTGTGCCTCACTCCTCATTCCTCATCATTCCAGTATGGTGTGGCACCAAGAAATCTAAAAAATCTCTCATCTCTGGGATCCACTTGAAATGTGGGATATCTGTGAGCGAAGCCCCTTTTCCTGGGAGGATTCCTCACCAGTTCTGCACAAAAGTCTGAATTGGGGTGATGGAGACAGAAGGAGGAAGGCTTTACTCTGCCGAGAGCTCACGAGGGCTGCACAGACCAAAAAGCTTTTCTAATATTGGGAGAAAATGCCTCTTCCAGTCTGGGTTTGGTGTCTGCTCTGTTATCATGGGCCACTGAAGGTGGAGTGAGGAAAAAGTAGCCGGCAATCTCCTTGAAGGAAGCGTGTGTCTCTCCTTGAACGACCAGAGCTCATCAATAAGTGATGCCCTGTCTCTTTCGGTCTATCACAAAAGGAGGGGCAGCCTTGATTCGTTTTAGATAAAAGTTCTCGACACAATACCAACTTTAAACTGCCGATGACATCCCTCAATGTCTTTAAGTTCTCGATTTGGTAGATAGCTTTCACTATTGTTTCTTATGAGCAAAGAAAAGAGCTGGAGTCACTCTGAGGTGACTGAAACAGCTGCAATAGAGCCAGTGCCCTTTTCCGCTCTGTCCTGTGACTCTGGTTCAATACATTCCAGCAGTCAAAAGACAACGGAGAACAGCGATAGGAGCTTTTTTTTTTCCCCTTTTTTTTTGGCCACACTGAAACCTAATCCCATTTCACAGCTGCATGCCGCCGTGCCAAAATAATCACTTGATGGGAGTTGAAAGTGATTACCACTGTTCACTCTTATCTCCAATGAGTGCAGAGAATATCATCCAGCAGCGAAAAACAACTGCTCGCCTCTGTGATGCCGGGCCAAACGAGGAGCAGACGAGGGGGTTACAGCCACACAGAAAAAATGCCTCCAGTGGTTTTTTTTTATGGGATGTGTGTGTCTGCAGCACATACAAAGGATGCACGTACCGTAAGTCGATTCGCATGGATAAGTAATTAGAGCACGTGTCCATCCCCCTTACACACAGCCTACATATTTAATAAGCCCTTCTGTAGACTCATACTTTGTGAATTTAAGGGAATTTCCACATTGGCTTTTTGGTGATAATCTGTAATCCTCTTGCTGGATTGCAAAATAAATAGCATTTATTTCTGATATATTACACATTAATGTTGGCGATTTAAAAAATCTGAATAACTTATAGTCATTTAAATGTCTGTGCAGTATCCGAAAAAACAAACATAAAAATAAAAAACAGAAACCAAACAAATTTCCAAAAGGAAGAATTCATTATTTGTTTTTTGGGGGGGAGGGGCTTTGGTAAACATGCATTTGTTTGTTTGTTTAAAAAAGTTCCGCAGAATTAATGGAAAAAGAAACTTAGATAATCAGTACTACTCACATTTATGTTCAGTGATGTTTTTACCTCAAACTTTCATGCTACACGCTCAGCAACTCATTCAAGGAGAGACATCAGTTTGGTGTTGAGCCCAAAGGGGGCTCGAACCTGCAGGCTTGCAGCAAATAGATGCTCTCACCTTTCACTAAATCACCGCCCAGAGCAATGTCTGTCCTGACAGCAGCGCGGCGATTAGGGCGTTTCCTCACCTGACTGTCGGACATGACATAGAGAGAGTTCCTGTCCAGAGAGAAGGTCATGTCCCGGAGGACGGGGCTGCTGTCCTTCATCACAGTCACTGTCTCGTACAACACTCCTCCATCCAGAGCCCCGTCAACCCGGATCTGCAGAGACAGACATGGAGAGACACTAAATGACAAGCAAATGGGAGGAAGCATTTCCCAAAATTCCAAACTTTTGAAGAAATGAGAATAAAAATATTCTTTTCAGTTTTTATGATCACCGAAAATAGCTTTTTGGATCATTTTCCCACTCTCGATGGAAGTAATAAAATCCATTCATCCATTTTTCTGAACCGCTTATTCCCAAATGGGGTCGCAGGGGGACTGAAATCCATCCCAGTAGTCAACGGGCGAGAGGAAGGGTACACCCTGGACGGTGGGATTAAAACATTACAGAATAATAACACTATGGGGATCCTTCAGTTTGGGGACTATTTATGATTATTTAAAAGAACATAAAAACATACAGTATCTCCAGACAAAATAAGTGCACAAAATGTACAAACCCTTACATCTTTAGATAGATTTATCTGATATCTGATCAGTTGTTGAAAACTTCTGTTAGGGCATATCAATCCAATAAAATATGTTATTTAAAAAAACTGCAATAACAATAATTTAAAATGACTGGAAATAGTTTATTCACTTGAAAATGTTTAAATAATGACAAGAGGATGAATCACAACCAAATGTTTATTTATTTATCTATTTTTGTTGTTGGTAATGTTACCATTTTAAAATAAACTTGCAGATTCTGCTGATTGGGCGGTCCTGTTTCACATCAGTAAAAGAAACAAATACCAATAATTCATTTTTCACTACATTGATTTTTTTCTACAATACTAAAATCACACTCAGGATAAATTTAGTCTTATCTAGCATCAATAACTACCAGGCTAACTGGTTTACTTAACCCCTTGATGATTTTTTTGTTTTAAACTAATCTTTTCGAATCAAACAAAAACCATGAATGGGCTGTTTCTCGCTTGTAATCCATGCCATCCATGTCCATTCTGGATCTTACACCATACTAGTGTTGAAGCTAAATTACTAAAGGCTTTGAAAAGGTTATACATAAACCATGGGGTGACCTACATAAGTGTGGCCAAAGCATATGATACAGACATGATAAATTAAGGATGACTGCATTTTATAGATCCTGGAAAAAGTCAAGATTCACAGGTGATGCTAAGCTCCTGGTTTTCTCTTTTTGTGCGGTGTACAACCGCAACACTTGCGATTGCAGCTTTAGGGACTGAAAACTCCTTTCATGCAGCTATGTCCCTCTTCCTGCAGACTTAATGCTAAGCTAGCTTTTGGCTAAAACATCACAGAGCTGGATTTTGCAGAGATGAGGCTGATGTTTACCTTCTTATCTACCTCTCAGACCACAAATAAGCAAATTTCCCAAATGTCTGCCTCCCAGCTTAGCTTCAGCTTAGTTTGGATTACACACACACACACACTGCCTGTGAATTCCTCACATGTGAGTGAACGATTATGCAATAAACTGGGTGTCAGAATTTGCGATGGTTTTTTTGTGTGTCACTGTTTTCATTTTGATCTGCACATTCTTGTTCTGTTCGGGTGTGCGCCACCAGGAAAAGATGTAATCAGGAGACCTCGATAGAGAGAAAAGAAAGCTCAGTCGGAGCAGCTTCCACTAAGTAAGTAATCAGCCTGGTTGTTGCGACTTTGGCTCTCATTCCCCACTGAGGTTAAACGAGTTAACGTTTAAAACGTGATCAGCAAGCCATGCCTTAATTTGACTTTGGAGTGACTTTCAGGCAAAAATCATTTGGGGTTCGTTAAATACAAACAAACAATGGGTCCTGTTTCGTCACCGATTTTATATATCGTCCTAATCAGGGTCGTGGGAGGGCTGTAGTCTATCCCAGCTGCCATCAGGTAAAAGGGATGCTACGTCCCTTAACAGCTCGCCGGCCCATCACTGGGCTGGGCTTTGTTCCAGTTCGGGGAAAAACGCAGACTTGTCTTCACACATTGTGTCTCGCTGACGTGGACGCCGCTGACAGGCAAGCTGGCGAACGTACCAAAGTGCTTAAAAGGTTCCAAGCGAATGATGCAGATACAAACTACATATCGGTACTCGCTGCATAATGAAAGCCTTTTAACTTTTCATCTATTGCTTCAAACACAATTTCTGTTTGTCAGTCTCTGACTTTCATGCACTTCTCAATTTTTTATCCCACAAACTTACTAGAAACTCCAAACACATAGCTAGTCTTTTTTCTATGTGTGAGGGGCAGTTGTGAACTACATGGTGAAGTAAAGATAACTTGGAATAAAAGGTGGAATTCGAATGTTAAACAAGAGAGCAAATTCTGTGTAAAGTATAGAAAAAAAAACTAGTAACCTTCTCATAAATTATGCGGCCCAGGCTGAAACTTCATTTAAATTCCAGCCAAAGTGGCTCATTAACCATGTGATGCAATTATAGTAAAGCGGAATTAATTTTTCAATCATAACAACTTAAATAAATGCAAGCTCATGCAGAACTGGAGCAGAGAATTGGAGGGGAACTTGGAAGTGTCTGCAGTGCAAATTATGCCACATCTTCCCCGCGTGCATCACAACACGTGGCCTAACCACCAAAAATCAAATCTGACTGCAGAAGACTTTGAACGTGGGCCAGGTCTAGCTCGCACATGGTGGCAGCATTCTATCAGGGAGGACGGTTAATCAATACAAACTGATTACATGATTGGGTCCCTTGGGCACCAAAGCTTCATCAATCCATCACAGCTCCACCTTCCAGGCAGCTGTGCCTCTCTAACAGTCAGGAATTAAGAACAGGAGGGTTTTTTTATTGTATGGAACGTGACTGTATATATTGGTGGGGAGGCAAGGATGAAGCTCTGTTTATACATACAATACCATCAAGTACCAAGTACGCTAATGACGCTGGATAATCTCTAATTTCCAGATCATTACAGGGGCACAATTTGTCTCTCATTTGTCAGATTGTTGCTACAATTTGCCTTCTGCACAATCTTATCCTTTAAATATTTATTTCAAATACAGATTTGTCGCAGAACTAAGCTTCTTTTGAGAGCCTTCATTCTCTTGCTCCAATTCCTCCTCCTCCATTTTCTCCGAGTCCTCCTCTCCTGTTCCACCGTCCTTTGCCGTAATGGAACCAGTTTACATACAGCTTTCCCACAGTCCCGTGTTCAGAAATAGTCCAAATAGAAACAGGAGAATGTAAGCATTTCTGTGGTAAAAAGATATTTGTGGGGGGGAGCAAAACAACCACGCAGAGGACAGATATTGAACCTTGTGTAAATTTAGCTGGGTATGATGAGGGTTACCAAAGGTTAGAGTTTCAGGGATGAACTTGGACAAATAATGACCCATCATGACCAATTTATGGTATTCGATTTCAGTGGATTTAAAAGTAGTTTAAGCATCTAAGACAGAGCTGACCAGGCAGCTGCCCTCCGGGAATACAACAGGTCTTCAATCTCTCTTTAAGCCCTGCAGCTTCTTAATGAGAATAAGGCGGGTTTAATTGGTTTTATAATGAGCCTGCTTGTTGAAGATGGCACACAAAGTTACAAACACACTCACAAAATACCTCTCTAAACAGGATTGCAAACAACCATAAATTACGTGGGTACTTCTTGGTTGCACTCATAAAACTGAATCTTTTTTTCAGCCATCTAAAATTGTAGTGCCTCAGTAAAGCGCATAACCAGTGCACAACAATACACAACAATAACATTAAAGTTAGACAAAATCATGTTGGCTGTGGCACAGATAGGATTTCAGTTTAAACTTAACATAAAAGATGAACTCACTTTAGGGCTTTGGTGCTGCTAAACCACCAGCATCTCATGACATGAATGTCTCTGTCCTTACAGCTTCACCCACACCAGCTCAGATAAAAAGATCATGAGATATTTTTACTAATGAGGGAGACAATCCGACATTTCATCAATATTAGGTCATCTCGCGTTTGGTGGCTGTGACACATCCATACAAAAGTTGGGAAGTTTCATCGATAGGGATTTTGTTCAATACTTGTCTGAAGTCTGATTCCAGCCTCTCAACAATCCTGGATCTTTTTTGTTGCATGTTGCATTTCATGAAGGACAAAATGACTTCGGTTTGTAACAGGTCCAGGTCAGAACCAGGACTTCCACTGCAAAATCCAGCTGTTGAAAAGATGTAGCATGCTGTCAAACGCAGTCTTGTGGAAACATATATGGTCCTAGTTGAGAAGATGTCATCTGGACAGTAGGTCGCTATCTCCTTAAGCACTAATGTACCGTAATGCTAATCAGGGATGTAGGCTTTCGATTTTCTATTTTAAATGAGGCTTGGCCCAGTGAGGACAGAGCTATTAACAAATCACGTTCACATATGGCTTCTTCTTTGAATGACATAGCTGTAACCCTCCATTTGTGAAAACCATGATGTGCTGTATTCACAGACATCAATTTCTGGCATTGATGTTCACATCATGATGTATTTTTCATTACAGAAATACGCCTGCTTTACCACAGGGTAAAATCATTAGCATTCTTTGTTGATCTTTGGCCATTTCCCTTTCATCTGGATTCTCAGAAACCTCTCACAGCATTATGTACAATTGATGACAAAAGTCTTAACAATTTTCCATTGAAAAACGATATTCTGAAGCTGCTCCACAATTTGTGCATGCAATTTTTGTAGAATCACGACCCAACGTGCACCTTTGCTTCTGACTGACGCTGTCTTCCTGAAGTGCTTTTCCAAAATCCAGTCAAGACACTGACCAGTAGCCAATTGACCTAATTAGTTGCATCATGTCCATAAACCTGTTTCTATTTTCTACCACTTAATTTTCCAGCTCTTTCCTTTCCAAATGTGTATAGGCGTTTTATAGATTTGTACATGTGACGACAGTTAAAGAGAGACCACTATTTTTCACAAACTAGTACTACTTTCATTTGTTGTCTGTGTCCTGCTGTGAATATGATGCGTTGTGACGTTGGTTCATGAGACTTTTGGTGTTTTTATTCAAATTTAGCAAAATCACAATGGTTCTCTTTTTGTAATGGTGTTGTAAAATGCAGTTTGCCGTGTCCGTGAAGACG